TGCGCTGTGAGCCAGGTTTTGGTGTTCATCCATGCTCCCATCGAACCATCGTTGCCCATAAATAGTAGAATGTAATGGAATGGTAATGGCAGCATCGAGATGAAAGTAATAAATAAACACCAACAACAATCAACATCATAGGCGTTGCAGCAGTGGTGATGTTTGCACGTTTGAAAAATTGCTGGCTTTGAGACCCTAATTCTTTCCTTGTTCTTGTTCTTAAAGGGATTTGAGTCTCTGGTTCTGACTAGTTCGTCCTTTGCAGTTCTACACTACTCATAAAATGATGGGAGGTAGAGATTTTGTGCGCCCAGAGAAGGAAGGCGAGTTTTTTCACATGAGGGGCATAAGACTACACTTTCTAGAAAACTTTTTGGGATGCTTCCCAACTTATCAGCGAGTTTCTAAGCCCGATAAAACTTTTTGCAAAGCTAATTTGTTTTCCCGCCATTTCCTAAAGACTACTTAATCTGTTTATAAGTTAAAAAATCACTTGCCCTCCCCTTTTGTTCGTAATGTGTAAATGTTACCAAAGGTTCAGTTACCCATGTCACTTACTGTCGATGAAGTACGCTCTTGTAGCTGAAAGCGATCATTTTTGAGCTTCCTTCATACTCCTTTCCTATATTACTGCTCTTTACCTCTTTGGATCGTAATCTAAGTCATATATTTTTTAAACGAGAATATCTTTATTACAAAAATATGTGGTCCTACCGCTTCAAATAATGCCGGTTAGCCCATACACTTCTAAATAAGCCTTTAGCATAAAAAGATATGGTCCCACTTCCTCAAATAATAACGGTGGCTGTTCTTTTATGATTGAATGTCTCTTTTGTGTGCCTTACGACTGGTAATCATCTATGGCTGCCCGTTTTGAAGAAACAATTATTGCAGCAGAAAAGCAAAAATTACAGCTTTCACTCTCATCGTTGTATTAAGAGACTGAAGGCCATTACTGGTGCTTTTCTGGAGTGATGAAGTCGGATTGCACACCGACCCGTATGTCTTGAAACAAAGGCACACTTACTTTTTATCATTACTTTACTACTGTCTTTTTCTAGGCAGTTTTTGTACTCTCGTGATTATTCAGTGAGAAAGTATTTGCCAATATTGTGCTAGAAGACATTTGCACATTTGCATATCGAAGTTTAGTTAACTTTGTAGTATTGTACTGATCTGGTAGGTTTGTGTGCAATTGCACAGCGAAGTCTCGCGTTCAACACAGCGTTTTTAGGCCCCGGACAGACTTCACGCGATTTGATCGTCGCGACTCAATCGCCGACATTTCCATTCATTTTCATTTCACATTCAAAAATTTCAGGCTGGAAAAGTATCACAACCGAAATGCAAGCTGATCGGCATGGAATGATACTGTAACAGTTGTCTCGTCGCGATTCAGTCGCGACGACCAAATCGCGTGAAGTCTGTCCGGGGCCTTACACCACATCGACGCGCACAAAGCACTGTCATTTCGCGAATGGAAAAATTGGAGAGCTGAGTAGAAACCAGTAGAGAGTAACCAGTAACCAGTAGAAACGTGGTCCTGTCTTGAAATCCTACACATCTCTTATATGGGGCACAAAACCTTGGCAATGCGACGGGATTATGCCATTTTCTCAACGATCTTATGGTTATGAAAAAACTGCTACGGCCATAGCTCAATTGTACTTTTCAAATTTCATTGTTATCAAGCACATCCTCTATGTTTTCTAGCTCTAATAAAAAGCGATTCTGGGCACCGGTACCTAAAATTTTTGAGAATATCATCAAGAAACCTCAGCCAAGCCATCGCCTAAACAACAACTTGCTTTTTTTCATCGCTGAAAAAATCGACTCCAACCTCTCTACGAACGGGGCAGCTTACGTATAAATTGGTCAGCACCCGAGTATGGGAGGAAGAAGGGTGTGGATCGGAGTTCATTTCTCGGCCACAAACGATTCTGAGCCTTGCTTGAAGATTGACTTAGTTTAATCCTTCCAGATAGTTTTTGCATAATAAATTCACCCATAGTTACCACCGCTTCTTCTCATCCGTCACCTTTAGCGCCCTTTTTTCAAGAAGATTTATGCCGTGGTGCGTCTGTACCAACTCATCAAAGACAGCAAATTGCTTTTGCGGTGGTCTATGGGAAGAACTTCAAACCGCAGAGATCTGTCCTGATTCCCTATGTGCCTTTGACTTGACTTGTTTTTCGGCCCCATAAGATCTCGTGTCTGCCCCCATAAGATCTCGTGTCTAGTATGGCCCGGATAGTAGTTCAGCACATAACAAGATTTGCATGCTGCTGTTCACATCTCTCGATCTGGAAATGAGAGAGAGCGGGTGGCACAGACGAGTTGTCCTCCTCGGGCCGAGTTGCTCTCATCACATCTGATGTACAACCCGACGACGTCTGCATAATCACGTCAACATGCGTGCTAGAACAACATTTGCATGTGGTCTCACTAACCCCCTCTTCCACCCTTCGTCTCATTGAAACCTACGCATTCGATCGAGAAAAGCTGTTTGTCGGCTTTACAACAAGATTTTCGTTTGTAAAAGTTTTCAGCGTACCAGATTTTTGGCATTTTGCAGCATTTTCGAAAACGTTTCAGCATCAATTTGAATGAAAAATTCTATCGCGCGCTTCAGTTGAGGGCATTCGTAAAATCGTGACGATGGTGCGACCGCGCGCGACACGCACTCGCCTCCCGCATTTTTCAGGTTTTTATCTCTACCCGAATGGCTTTTTCTGCTTACGTATGGTAGAATTTTGAAATTAAAAGAGACTGAGCTGAACGGTGAGGTGATGCCGTTTTGTATGAGTGTTTCCTGCTCCCGTGGGCGCAAAGACCGCAGTCAAATCCGTCGTCACGATTTCACAAACGACCTATACATCTCTTAGTTTCCCTTAACATATGTTTGAGTATACAGCTGTTTAGACAGAATATCACACCCCATGTATGATCGATTTCATTTTAGCAGTCACATTGTGCACTTGCACAACCTTTTCTATTTGCGCGGAAAAGTCGCTCAGAACATATCGTGCTCCTTTTTCTAATTCATACAATCGTCGATTTTTCTCCTTTTTGCTTTTTCGTACCGTTCCTGTGATAATGTTAAATTATTCGAGCCTTTGGCTTGCTCCTGCCAAAAGTTCTGCAATTACACAAATTGGCAGAGATGTGGGCGATGTATATAACTTTTCTGACTTACAAGGGAGGGTCACGAAGTAGCCGATCCCTACAAGCTGCATACCCTTAGTGATAGCTTTGGGCGCTGGTTCCAATATGCTTTCCGCATCTGCAGAGCGCCGTTGGGAAAGAAGTTTTGAACATATTTTGAAGTTGAAAAATGAACTAACGGCCGGAATGAATTTAACCGGTCCAGCTTCTCCAGACTTTAATGAAGAAACGGCAGTTTCGGGATACTTCGTGCAATAAAATTCTTCTGCCCAGTATATCAGTGTTTCCTATATCTCCTTGGTTCTAGGTTTCTTCCCCTATTTTGCTTTGTTACGGCTCTTGATGATATAAAAGTAGTCTTTTTTTTTCGCTGTCTAAACATTGACTTATTCCTGCCTTTTCTTCACTTTAATCTCCTTTTTTCGTCGCAGATAATTGGAAGATCTTTTACAAACACTACAACACTATCTCGCAATTTACTGCAATCGGCGACTTTGTTTTTTTAAATTCTCATTTGCCATCTCGTGCTGGGCTCTGATCATGCGACCTCTGCAAACAATTTCTAAAAACTGTAATTCACTCCTAGAACTGATAGTATCTCAGTTTTTCTTGTTTTCTTTTTTACATTAAGCAAATAATACTGCTATAAACTTAATTGCGCCCTCAAATTTATATACGCCCACACGTTTCTATACTCACAGAATGGACAAAGTTTGATATGTGAGCCCATGAATGACGCAATCCTCACTTTTTATAAGAATAGCATTTCAGTTCTCTTAACGTCTTTCGCATTCTTTCGCTTGGATATCCGATATTCGTAAAGTCAAGTGTGCTTTCTTCGTCATAAAGACAGCTATCTGTGATTATTTACAAGGTTTTCGTTTCTTTGAACTTGTGCTTTTGAAACATCCAGTCTGTTCACATTACGACCCAGAGACGATCGTTTTTTCACAAACTCGTTTCGAGTCCTCAGACCATGAAATGAACAAAAAATGCTCGTTTCATCCTTCCAACTTCCATCTCGTTTAGATTAAGCGATTTGTCTGAAATATTATAGTTCCATTAAATGAGCACATGTGCACTGCTCACTAGTCTAGCAGGACTCTGCCGGCTTCCTTTGCCAAGTAAATTTTAGTAAATTTCCAAAATTTCGAAGCTTCTGAATCTTTTTGGAAATAATGCATAAGAATGTTCACCTATCCCAATTTTTCGTGCTCCTATGGTCCGAACTTGCAGATTTGAATGCTCATGCAATCGAACATTACACTGCTGGCTCACAAAGTCACTTTTTCAAACAGAGATAGAATTTCTGCATTGTAATCACTCTTGGATAAATTCTTCTGCGATCTTCTCAAAATTTGCACGGCGGATTTTTCTCGAAATACCGTTCTGTTCTGGGGAACGCTCTACATCTCCCTCACAAATTAAAACGTTGCTCACATGCTTCTTGTAAGAATAAAAATGAAAATGAACAATTTACAAAGAAGTCATCATAGGAGAATTTTATTCTGACCTTACAATCTCTACATACAAAAAATTTTATTCGCTTGATGCTGCGTTAACCAGCATGCTCGCCAAAATTTGGAAAGCATACCAAAAAATTTTCATCGGGACACCGAACTTCCTTATTCGGACATTTTCGTCCCCTCCCCTCCAGAAAAAATTCGTGCCTTGTTATTCCCCTAAATCCATGATAGCATTTTCTCAATTTTTCTCATCTTTGTAGAGTAAATCAGTCTGTCGTTCCACATTTTACAAAACTCTACGACTTCCCATTCTCTCTTTTTGCGCGTGCTTCCGTTGCATTTATGAAAAAAATGGCCCAGCACATTTTCAGATCATTTCGGGTCCTTTCCGCCTAACGTGTGACCTGTTCACGGGTTTCACGCTCCGATGGACACATGTGTGATGGGTACCGTACCATTGACGGACTCCGAATGGCTGGTGGATGCGGTGGCCGCGCTCAACGGAGTTTACGCACAACTTCATCCCTATGTAGCTGTGGCTTTATGTCTTGCAGGTAAACAAATCTTCCCCTCGGGAAAACAATTCTTTTAGGCTTTTGGAAAGGAAAAATCTTTGCAGGCACAGCAATGAATGCCGTAACAATCGTGGTTTTGACCCGACCGTCGATGTTGTCTCCTATTAACGCGATTCTTTGCGCTGTTGCTATCTGTGATATGCTTGTGATGATGTCGGTCCTCATATTTGTCTCACATTTTCTCATATCATCTAGTTTCAGGTGAGGTGATAGCATTTCAAAATTCGAAACTCAGAGATAAATTATTAATGAATATCCAAAGTGAGAATTTTTTCAAAAAATTTCCCTTCAAGCTTAGGCTTTTGTTCTATTTGATGTACATCTGCTAGATACAAAAAACACAACTCAGAAAGTTCAAAAAATCAGGAAAATTTATGGTGAAAATGACGCATGCAAATCTCTAAAGTTATGTGGACTCTGCCAAAAATCGATCTTAGCTACCGGAAGGAAAAACTTTTATCTTAAAACTCTCTCATTTCTCACTAAAAATTTAGTACAGTTTGCATGCATTCTATTAGAGCGATCCGTAAATTTAGTACCAACCAAAATTTTTGAAAAATTGCAACTATTTGTCCTTTCAACAAATTTGCTCAATTTATTATAGATTGCACAAAATTATACGTTTTTTGAGGATTTTGAAAGGAATCCGCTTTTCCATATCACGCTGATATCAGTTGATTGAAAGAAACACTTTACCTCTTTTATTGATTTTTATTCAAAAGGTCAACAAAATCCCAATTTTATTCTTAGACTGGTTTTATGACTTATTCTTACTGTGAAAAATATTGATTAAGTTTTTTCTTGACAGCAAATATTCTCGAGTTTTCAAACTCGATATTTCGATTGTGTTTTGAATAACTTATTGTAGGTTTCAAAAATATGACATATAGCTTGATACGTTGTTTTGACATCTGGTGGATCTTTAGTTTTATTTGGTTCAAGACTTACGGATCATTCTAACGTCTCGAAGAACAAATTTTGGAAAAAATATGTACCATTTTCGTGAATTTTCAAATATCTTCATATATTTTTAATTTTCAATAACTTCAAATATTAACAAAAAAGATATTTCAGATGTGATCCAGATGATTATAATAGGATGTGGGCATATTTTCTTTTTGCTCATTCACAGAGTACTGTAATTCTGCATGCGACTAGCATTTGGCTCACGGTAAGTTGAGTTTTCCACTTATCTTAAGAAAGCGGTTTTTTCTTATAGGTTTTGCTCGCACAAATACGTGTCTACACTATAAAACGTGCAACGGCTGGACCATCGGAACAAATCACTGCCCGAGCAACCTGTTTTATTGCACTTGTGACACTTATAGTCGTGGCTATAGTAAATATTCCAAATTTTATGACATTTGAGGTAAGTTTCTAGAATTTATTGAAATTTATTCTGCTATAAGTGCTGAAGATGAACTAGAAAAACTTAAATGCTTTTATTTTCCATGAATTTGCCGAAATGTAAATGTTAAAATGCTGCCTGTATCAATTTACCCCATGTTGAAAGAAATTCCTTAGCAGCGGCGACTACGCCGCAGATTTATCGCCGCCCAGGCCGACAGGACCTACCTGTGCGTACGTGTTAACAGCCAATGAAGAGAAACGAATTCCTCGTTTGCTATTCACCTTGAGCGGTACCTATCCCGTCAGAGGCTGTAAAAAATGTAGAAAAAATAAAAAGAAATAAAGGGAGTCGTCCATCCATTTTAGAAGAGTAGAAATGCTGTAGCCCTTCTCTATTTTTTCCATTATATGGGAATAGAAAAAAAACAAAACTTTCCTCTTACAGGAAAGGACTTTAGGATCTGCGTTTATCAAAATGATGGTTATTATTTTTTACGATTTATAATCGTGATTAAAATTTCTGCGACATTAATAAACAAATTTTATGAATATGCGAACGTCTCCGCATCATTGTCATCGTTGAATACTTTCATTTTCTCCGAAAACAAAATAAAAATGTCAGCGAGAGCATTAGATTGCTTTTGCATGTTATTTATAGCAAGGCCAACTAGACACTATGCATTTCGGAAATCGAAAGATGAAGGATGCTCAACATCCAGAATCACAAATTTGGTCATAAAAAGGCCATTCTGTCGTTCTGATTGTAATCGGCTTGATAGAACAATAATAAACTGAAAAATTAAATGAATTTTCTTGTCCAAGCACAAACTAGTAATTTCTAATTCCTTTTGTCTCAATCTGCAAAGACCCTTTCCTAAATTTTACACAAAGTTAGAATCTACACTAATTTATGCTGCTTGTTCTGTATTCAGCTCATTCCAAAAATCTCGTCTGTACATTTCAGATTGTAGAAATGGAAGCCGAACTATATCTACCTTGCCTCAAGTCTATAGAAACCGACGAGATTTGGGATGCTGATAGTTCTGTAGAAATTCCTTCGAATGCATCAACTCAAAAGATATATAACGTGAGGCCATCATCAGAAATGGACTGTCGAACTTTGAAGGTTCGTTTTACACAAAATCAATCAGCTCGATTTAATTGAACTAATTCTGAATAGTAAAATCGAATTAAATGTTACCCATGAGTGGAAACCTCGATTTGTGAAGGTCTTTTTCGAGGAGATTCTTGCAAAACACTTTCTTTCAGATAGCATTTTGGACAAACGGCCTCTTGTTCAAAGTCGTTCCCTGCATTTTGCTCACTGTATCAATCATTGCCTTGTTGAAAATTATTAAAGATTTATCTATGCGGAGGAGAAGTCTTGCGCAGGTCAGTGACTTCCCTTATTATTATTTTGGAAAGATATCTGTTCTATAAGCAATTATTTTAAGATAATGAATAAAAAGCGGATGCCTCGAGATCATACCACCCCGATGCTAGTAGCCGTACTGTCGATCTTTCTTATAGCTGAACTTCCTCAAGGAATTCTGCATGTGTTCAATGCAGTCTACTCTAATGATACTTTCTATCAGAAGGTTTGTTTTAAGCTTGACTGGAATTGGACAATTTTGCAAAGCGCGAAAAAATCGAACATTTGTACTGAGTAAAAAAAATTTATAGATGCCAGGTGGACTAATTTTATGAACTTCATCTAATGGGATTTAAGTTATAATTGTGAGAAATTTCCTAAGAGATCCGTATCTACTTTATGGTTACAACTTGCACTTAGTTCAAGCAATCAGGTTCTCAAAAGTGAAATTGAGATGAAAATAAAGGAAATAAATAAATAAACAAAATGATAAGAATTTTTTCACCAACTAAACCGACTAAATACTCTAATGTTCTACCAATTTTTTTGAATCTGTAATATTAGTTTTATTATTTTACTGCTGAATTTTAGCACACGATGATTTAGTATTACGCACCTGCGACAAAATTTCCTCGTCATAAAAATGGCCCGAAAATATAGGCTCTATGGTCATTAAGCAGTGAAACATTTCAAATATACTGATTTTACATGATTTATGTTACTCATTTTACTTATTTTACCAGTCGATTGTGTATATATTGCTCTTCTTTCCTTTGATACCGTGGAGCGTATTGAGTGAAAGAATGAAATGAAATGAAACAAACGCGATCTTTTTATTTGTAATTCCATGAAATATCATTTTTCAAGAACAAGAGCTTTACAGTAATCTAGAACTTACAGTATAAGTTTTGAAACTCCTAAATATTTAGATTTATCTACCCCTTGGCGACCTCATGGACTTATTATCGCTTCTCAACTCAGCAGTCAATTTTTTGATATACTGTGCAATGAGTCGGAAGTTCCGCAGCGTCTTCCTCCAAATAGTCCTCAGCTGTTTACCTGTTACTGTCTACAGGTACTGCGCAAAAAAAATTGAGCTCAGCGTTTAAAATCTCAAATCACTTCCATTCCCAGACGAATCCTGAAAGACTGGCCAAAGCTAGCAGATGTGGATTCCTCTCGTCCTAAACCTTCGGGATTTACGACGGATCTCACTAAAACGGAGCAGGTAATTTATCTATCTGGCACTCCACATTAGCACTCAATAATCCCTTAATGTATAGTTTAAGCTAGCGTTGACTTCACATCGCGTCTCAGCCACATCAATGTTGTTACATGCGGCATGCAAAGAGAGTTCGTCGAAAATGTATACTGGGAACTTGTTATCTGTGGGTGAGTGACAATTTCACGAAATTTTTCTTCCACTACCGCTCAAAACTGTCTCAATCGCAATGTTTTCTTCGTCGACCATCCCTCTAGCGGGGGCCTAGCGCGAGTTCGCAGGTATAGATTTGAGCAGCCATGTTGGCCCCATCGATCGCACGTCGCGGACACCTCTCGCGCTGCGCATGCGTATCCGTACGTAAACTCCGATGAGAGACTCTATAGATATTGTAAATGAAGTAGAACTGACGTTCAAAATGGAGCCATTCGCTGCCAATACATGCACTAAAAATTGACACGCATCATACGTATGATGAAATCGTCCATATGCTCCAATTCTGTGTTATTATCCGTTTGGGATTACTGTGACATTGGCACGAAAATCCTGTGGCATCATTTTCAAAATGTTTTCCAAAAACTATCTAAAATACTTTTTCTTCTAACTAGATAGAAGTGGCGAACCGAGGGGGGGGGGAGAGAATGGGTCGCGAAATTTTTGTAGGTTACTCAAATGGGTTAAAAAATGTGTAAACGACCTGTTTTTACTTGTAAAAATTTGAAATAATTTTTGAAAATTTTCAAAAATTGAAATTGGCTTTGTAAAAGAATTTTATAACGGGGGCGTGGCTGGCGCCACGTCCCCTTTTTCTGAAATTTTGGGGTCAGGGGCCCGCAAAAATTATGAGAAGCATCCAAAAAAATTTTCGGACTGCGTGCTTTACGCCACGCACCTTCATCCGAAAAAAATTTTGTCGCCCCCCCCCCCCGAAATCTACTGCTAGATAGATAAAGTTTGTAGTACTTACTGTTTCGAATTTTTTATGTAAAATTCTCTTACTTTTACAGGATTTTTCTCAAATGTAACTTTATGCAGAAATGCTCACAAGTTTTGCGTATTCAAAAGGACTGTTTAAGAATTAACTTGAAATTTTTGAACACTTTCAAAAAAAATCAGAACTCGCTATTTTGAGCTTTTCTTCAATCTGCAGCAATTGTTTGCAGAAAGTGCGTTATATGGCTTTGTTGATATAACTTTTCCACTGAAATGAATTTGAAACATGGCAGACTTGTGTCGAAGAGCTAGGAATTTTTTGGAACAAATCGTAGCTCTTCGATATGGTTTTTTAACGACAAGGTTTTTGTGCCAACTGTCTAATATTCTAGTAAGTGTTAGAAAATTCAACGGTCTGTTCGAAAATGACACATACCTACGATGATAACGGCTGGATTATAATAATAACAAAATACTTTTCCAGAAACACCCGCCCCACGAATGAGCTTGGACTCCAGATCGGGTGCAAATTCGGCTAGAAACAGCTTGGAAATCCATGAAATTCGGCTTGCTGTCCCAGGTAAAAGCAAGGTGGGACCTAATTTTGCTCTTCTTGCAACACAACTGCGCAAAAACTCATAAAGATAGGAGTTACTTGAGTTGCTGGTTTTGAAGAGCTTTATGAGCTCTCTGGAAGTAAGTTTTTTCTAGTCCTTACAAACTGCAGATTAGGGAAGCATGAGAACGCAATGTCGAAGACGGGCTCCGCTTGGGCGGGCAACTGGTACGAGTTGGTGCTGAGTCGCGATTTGTGGCAGATGTCCGCGCGGGGGGGGGCAATCTACGACATAACGTTCCCTGCTCGCAATCGTGTATTGCCAGTAGGATGGAAAAATTGAAGTTTTTTTTATGAGTGAACTTATAGTAGAAGTCGCATGTACAACTAGGTGATCTTGAAGGTTGGTGCGTTTGCGGCCATTGCTCACGCATTCAGCTTTCTCCATTTTTTTCTGCTGTTAAACAGATTTCTTTATCAGATGTTAGCTTTTAACTACGTGAAGATAGAAAAGTACGGGGTTTAAATAGTTTGGGGCCTTTTTGCACCCTGCGTGTGTGGCCGCAAACTTACCTACCTTCACAATTTGGTAGAGCCCTCTATATGAATTCAAAAGTTACCAAAAATGCTCAACGTTTCGTTTCAGCCGTCGTCCCCATTGCCAAATCCGATTTCTACTATTCGCAAGTTGTGGGAGACAACAGCAAATGTGGTCGAAAGCAGTCCTCAGCGGCGGATCAATCTCATCCAGTGTGAAACTCAATACTAACTAGAATTGATCGCTTGTATTAAATACATAATTTCTCAACTAGAAAACGGGTTTATATGTTATACCGAAGCTCGCATGAACGGGTTATTGAACATTGCGTATAACGTGCTGGACAGAGAAATAAATGTTGGTAAATACTTGTTTCTCAAATAACATATCAAGAAAAACTTATTAGTTTTGAAAAAAAAAACTCCTCCCTCTCATTTCCTTAATGGAGGGGAATTCTCAATACTCTTTGAGGAAACTATTGCGGTTAGGTCCTTGCCGAGGAAGATGTATAACGCAAGGATACCCTTTGTCTCATTTGGAGAGATCTCAGCTCAAGCGGCTCAACTCGCGCGACGGCTTCGCTTGAGCTCTGTATCTCTACGAGCGTGCTCTCTGATCAGAGCACAGCACGAGGTGGGAAATGTCAAGTTTGTAATCGTTTTGGATGGAAAGCAAGGGGGATGTCATAGATATGATTAGCTTTATATGACACTTTCTCTACAGCTGCTACACGACCGACATGCACAATACAGTTATGCTCGCGCGTCATCTTCAAGAATCCAATTTTTTTTTCGTTGAGTTGTAATCGAAAGACTCGCTTACAGCGCACACATAACAACATGACTAAGATTCTGGGGTATAAACGGACATGAACTAGGAGGAGCATAGCGCAAATATTGTAGACAAATTATGTGATTGAAGGGTGGCAAGCCTTTTTTTGAAAATTTCCCACTACCACATGAGATAGCTCGTTTGCAACGCATGAAGACGATCTGGTACGAAACTCGGTGGGTATACGCCAGTTGGACCAACGAACAAAGGTGAAAAAGAAGAACATATGTGAATTAGAAACATGCTTAACTTTTTTTCCAAATTATGTGAGCAATTTCCCACATAATGCCTATCTAAGGTAGGCAAAACTTCCATTTCACCTAACTTTTTCAAAATTTTACATGAATCTATTCTACACATAAAGTTCAGTATATAATAACATTTTGGTTTCAAAACTCCTTCTCTCCTCCTTGTTAGAATTCGGAATAACAACGACGCCGTTCCATCTAAGGAAGAATGCGCGCTTCAGTCGAAAAACCTACAACTGAGAAGATGAAGTGTGAAATCTTGAAAATCGATAGTGGCAAAGGCGAAGTTTTTTCATGAATGCCCATTTGCCACCCTCGTACTGGGCTCTGTCTCTGATCATTTTCCCACCTGAGCGAGAAAGGCCGCGCTTCAATGCTAATTAAGCGCAGGAAAATATTAGAGAGGACGCACGCGAAGAGGTGCAAAGCCCGGGCGAGGCGTCCGCGCGGGATTTGAGCCGTTCGAGTCGTCTCACACCAGATGAGACGGAGAGCATCAGTTCCGTATGTTTGCAACGGCCGCGACGAGCGAGTATAACGTTGCCAGAGCATGACTTTTTCAGAGGTGATTCCTATGGAGACAAGCGTTTCACTGTGCGTCATGTGCTCCGCATTCACATCAATTCCGTGCGATTGATGAATCCTAACTTTATTGTGCTAAGATGATGAAGACAAAATCCACTGCGCGCTCTGATCCGCGGCATTATAGTTGAGTTACTTTGTATTTTGTGGCGGTAAGTTTGGAATGAACGGAACTAGCACACAGGGCTGACAAGGGAAGGATGATCGGTCGAAGTGGCCTTTTGGATTGAGCTCTATACTAAGGAACCCTTCTTGGTAAGGCGACCTCAAAACTACTTTCGTTAGTTGCCAAACGGTTTTGAGGTGCGAGCTATGAGGCCATTTTTCTCCGGCGCAGCCGGCGCACCTACTGATGAGTGAGGCGCTAAAACGGTTTGTCCAGTGTGGCCGTGGCGCAGTGGCAAGGCAGCTGACTGTGAAGCATACGATCGAAGGTTCGGAACTGCAGTTTTGTAGAAAGTCTATTGGGTAACGTTCAACGTGGAATACTCATTGCTGCGCAGTTGAAACAAGCTATTCACTGCAAAAAGTCACAATTTCTACAATCTCTATATATATGAAGCAGAAAATCTGTGAGTGCGTTTGTGTGTTTGTGCACATTCGGGTGCAGGTTGTGCAGGGCGTGCAGGGTGGAGAGGGGGTAAGTGAACATGCTGATTCGAATACATTATTGATAGGACCGGGCGGAGCCGGGTTTGCCAGCTCGTCAGCTATAATCTTCTATAACCGTTTATATTTTATCCGATGTACACGCTGCGAGAAGCGCTTCTGCTGTGAATGATTTGTGGTTGTATTCCATACGTGTTAATATGTCACTGAAATCCATTATTGTGACATCATAATCCCCACCGATTTATAGGCGATTCGTAGCACGCAGATTGCGGACATATCGGCGTCTCACTGATCGAGCACTCTTTCGTTTCTTTTACCATCTACTGTCTCTCCCATGCACAAACGACCTTGGCCGGACGCAATGGCGCCCAGTCTTTGCGTGTCGTGAATCGTGTATACCAGTGGCGTATCGAAGGGGGGCGGGGGGGGGGGGCGCCCCCCCCGAGAATGGGTCGCGAAATTTTTGAAAGTTACTTATAAAGGTTATAAAAATGTGCAAAGGACTTGTTTATACTTGTAAATAAAAATAATTTTTAAAAATTTTTAAAAATTTAAATTAGCCTTGTAAAAAAATTTTTTCGAGGGCGTGGCGTCAGCCACGCCCCCTTTTCCCGGATTTTATGGGTTGGTTTGAGTAGCACCCCTAAAAATTTTTCGGAGTGCGTGGCTAACGCCACGCACCTTCATTCGAAAAATTTTTTTGTCGCCCCCCCTCCGAGCGGAAATCCTGGGTACGCCACTGGTGTATACATATTGTAGAAGATTATTGCTGATTTTAGAAAAGTGACTTTTTGCAGTAAAGCTTATTTCAACTGCGTAGCAATGAGTATTTCTCGTTAACTGTCACTCAATAGACCTTTTACATTACTGCAAAACATCATTGTCAACAGGAACCGAACTTTCCACCAGGCGCCTCACAACCGGCTCACTACCATTGCGCCATGGCCAGACTCGACGCTCTGTTTTAACGCCTTACTCATCATTAGGTGCACCGGCTGCGCCGGAGAAGATGGCCTCATAGCTCGCCCCACAAAACCGTTCGGCAACTAGCGAAAGTGATTTAGAGATTGCCTTACCAAGAAGGGTTTCCTAGTATAGAGCTCATTCCAAAAGGCCACTTCGACCGATCATCCTTCCCTTGTGAGTTATATCACGCAGTGATTATACCTTGCAAGTAAATTTTGAAAACCATGCATCGTAAGACAGTCGAACCTGTCAGTTTTTGAAGATAAGATAACGGCGATAAGGCCAACTTGTTCTGCAAGCGTGCCTTATCGTACATAAGCGGCAAGGTGAAACGTATTTTTTGTAGGGCAATCCGCGCAGGGCGCGGATTCGCGTACTGTGCATAACTACCTTTCCTCTTGCACTCCCGTCGCAAGTCACTCCGTACTTTCGACTGCTCTCTCGTTCGATCATGAATATTTTCAATAGACACAGCAACGTTGGATTCCATTCTAAACGCGGACGGACACATCAATTTTTTAGAAGTCCTTGTGAGCATTGCAGTACATTTTGATGACGTACGCCGCCTCGACAGTGTACAGTCTGGTGCTAGTTGCTTACTTGTGCCATGCCCTTGTTCAGCACTAATCAGCACATTCTAGGGGAAATTTTGCACTCTTCGAGGGGAGTAACAAATTTTATTATCTATTAGTACGTGTATGTTAAAGTGTAATCTTACAGAGATAACTGACCGGTAGGCAACAATCGCAGATAATGGAACATTAACGCCTTTAAGTTTGAGTGCAAAAAAAGCCTAACTTCACTAGAACTGACTAAAAGCATAGTGTGTAAGCATTGTGGGAAGGTTACAAGAAGTCTTGCACTGAATATACAAGTATAAGAACACAGCGAGATGCACATTAGCGGAGAAGAAACAAGCGGACCCGCACGGGATATAAAAGTTGCATAAAAACGATGGAATATACCAACAAAATGAGGAAAACTTGATCCTGAGGATACTCATAGTTCATAGAAAGATGCTGAAGGTCATCTCTTAGCACATGTCATTATTACTAGCAGATGGTGACACTTCTTTGCCCTTCACTGCTTCGACAATGTCGCGTCGGAATTTGGCCAAATTTTGAGTGAATATGTCCTTATTTTTGACCGTAAGGGACAGTTCAACGCCATCCATAAGTGCCACAAAAGCCTTGAAAACAATTTTTGGTTCTTTAAAAAATCGGTAATTCTTGTGATGGCACAGTGCAGAATAATGAGTGGACAGGTTTTGAAAAGCAAAGTGAATTGCCATCCCAAAAACCATGTAAACGATGCTAATTCACATTTCATACCTGATCAAAGGCCGCATGCCTATCTTCCGGTTGCTGAGCAATCATTTCACGCTTGAAGTTGGTAAAAACTTCCTCCTAAGCAATATGGTTGTACGACGAATATAATCAGATAGATATGCCTTACCTGTAGAAGTATCAAACCAAGCAACGGTCGTGATATGCTCCATTGACATTTCACCTCACCAAACATTAATGAAGTCATCATTGAGGTCAAAATCTGAGATAATACTATAAACGATTGCCATAAAAAAGTTCAAAAACTCACATCCGACATTAACTGTGGTTGGTTTTTGACGGCCACAAGACAAGAATCGCCTTCGGGTTCCATACCCACCTAATCTCAAACTTTTGATAAAGGCAAAACCAAAAGCAGAGTCTACCTTTGCTACTGGATGAGGTGACCTCGTAAACCTCTTGTAGAGGTAGTTTAGAATTGTATCCAACGCGGAACAAGCGGATGTTATGACCACAGCATCTGAATACGTTCATCTTATAAGCATTAACTGTAAGAAGAATGTCAAGGGTACCAAGAGATGTAACGCCAGTATGGATAGAACGAAGAATAGCTGCAAATACTTCTGGTTGCAGATTTGACACAAAAGCGATGTTGTCTTGAACGACATTCTCCAGGAGATTGTAATAGTGTTGAGCAATTTTCGTATATGACTAAAAACGCGGTAAAAATATTCAAAAAGTTGGTCCAACGCAACTTACATGAAAGTCTTCCTCTGGGATCTTCATGAATAGTTTAACAAACATATCAAGAGAGTCTTGCAAGCAGGAGTCCCCGTACAATCGGAACACTCCTGAAAGTGTAAAAATTATACTGAAAGCAGAAGTGACGGAGACTACTTACCGAATGGAACATAAGCTCCAATGAGAGCACATTTCAACACATTAAATATGATTCCAATATTTTTATATCGCTCCGCGTATGCACGTTCTTTTGGAACATCCGGCATGATTAGAATTTGATTTCCTATGCTACCTTTGTTGAAAAAGGAATTGAAAGCTAAGCATACCCACCATAAGAGCAGATAATTTTGCTAGCTTCTTTGAATAATAAGACAGCGCTACAGCTACTCATCTCAAACTTCAAGCGTTGCTGTCGATTTTGGCATAACTCCGCGAGTAATCGGAATATTGGCGTCATGACCTAAGTCACTTAGAATTTAAAAAACCATACAATTCACTAACGATGAACAGAGCAAAATCGAAAAGTAATTGCAAGTTTATAGTCTGAAAGGTCAGCCACCACAAACATTCTTTTCCTGCGCAAAGCAGAAAGAGTTCAAAATTAAGCGCAGACAAAAACAACTAAAGGCGCTACATCAAAAAGTACGAGAAGAGGAAGAGCTTTGGAAAATAATGCACAACCGTAATTCTAGCTAATTGAGTACTATCAGTAAGATGACTGACACAGATACACCTGAGAATCCAAAGAAAGGTTGCTAGGATCACATTTTTGGTACCAATCGGCTACCTGTGGATAAGATGACCATTCTTCTACCGCACGCAGCATGATGTTGAAAACGTCTGGATAAAGCCAATCGAACAGAATTTGAAAGAGATTCTTCGTAGTACAAGCAACAGCTACTCCTCGCAGGTCACGACAAAGCCCAACCACAACCCTCTGAAAGCATGAGCCCTTAACAGAGAAATGTTTTGAGAATTAAATGTAAAAATAACCTGAAGCTCATCCTGAGAGACTCCTCCGTTGTAATTCTGAGTGGTCATTATAGCAGTAAGTTCACGCTTTGTTACTATAAAGATTGCATTTTGGCTAAGTTAGAAATTCAGAGTGAAAAAGTACCAGCCAGCGGTTGCATAAACTGATCAAATAATTGTTCATCATCATTCAGGTCAATTGTGAGAAGCCGAGTAAGAGCCTCATAAAAGACAGTTCGGTGTTTCATCGTTGAATATGGTACTGACTGTCCAAGGAAGACAAAGTGCTCTGCCTGTGAATCTTCATAGTATAACCTTGAGGGCAAGAAATATGCAGGTTTACCGTGTGATTGCTGAGAAGAAGCTGTACTTCTTGAAGACGGAATAGTTTACGAACTGCAGTGTAACCAAGTGAGAGATCTTTCAACAGTGATAAAGACAATTCCAGGATTTGCTCATTAGTGGCCCAAAATTTCAGATTGGTGAGACTGAAAAATGAGTACGAAAGAGCTCCTATAGAACGATAACACTTACATTTTCTGCACAATCACGCTCAGCATGTCAGTTTCGTCGGACACCCCTAGTTCCGAATTCAACTTATCATATACGGGGCTCGATTTAGTGATCTAAAACAAGTCAAGTGATGCAACAGCAATGCAGTTAAATCTCGTACCTGGTCCATAATATATGCACGACGAAACTGCTCCAGAAGATGGATGAAAGCCACCTCTAAACGAACATTTCCCTTTCCCGGGTTGGCGTTGACACTGGTGGGGAAAATCAATCTATTATCGTTGATTCGCATGAATTTTAAGCATCTGAATATAACGAAATTCATAAGGGGTACCTAGGTGAATCGAAAAAGTGCACATCCATGAGAATCTGAGTATTATTCCAATATACCTCGCCACTAGATCTCCGTCCATTTTATCGTGTTCTTCGTTATTGGAGACTGCAGTCTTTCCGAACACAGCTGTACCAATTAGGGTGACTAGCCATACAAGACGTCCCTCTGCGACGCGAACCCGAAGATCCTATACTAGAGAGTTACAATTAACCATGCAAGACTGCGGCCAATCAACAGAAGACCAAAGTTTTTAGAGAACAAATGCTAAAAATTTTCATGTAAAACCAAAAGCGTACCCCTTCCGGCCCCGCTTCTAGTATCCTAGCATTCTCATCAAAAGCATTCGCTAGAAGACGAGCAGTTTTCTCATACTCGCATCGGCAGATGATGGCCAAATGTTCCATAATTTGCAGTGTGGAGCCTTGATCTTCCAGTGGATCATCGTGACCATCCCTGAACAAAATATTGTGCAAAACTCATAAATGAAACGAGCGAGAGTACAACTATCAGTTTAAACTGATTTGTAACACTCACTTTACGACTCGCTCTACATTTTGCAATCGACTTTCCACAAATGCCGTCATAATTTCAGGACAATATAAGTTCAGCAAGTGATCTTCACTGCTTCTCACGTAGGGTACCGAAGTCACCATCCTTTGCCAAAAAGTAAGCAAAAAATATGTGCTATTCGCCGAAAGATCCATCATCTGCGCAAAGAAAAGCTCGAAACGCACGGAAAACACACCAAAAACACGGAAAACAAAAAAAGCAAGAACCAACATACCCTCAAGCTTTCCACAGTAAATTGTGCCAAAAGCCGCATAAGGGCAGCGTAATCTGGGACCTTTATCAGTTCACAAAGTTGGAAATTTGTCTTCAGTCGTGACACCATCCTACAGAATTCGTGGAATGCAGGCTGTAAATAAACCGAGTATCACTTTCACTTCTCAAACTTCGAAAATTAGTATGTTCCAAAAAATTAACATTTCTGAACCAATAGCAGAAGGAAAAAGAAAATGTCGTTCTAATGCCAATGATAAAACAGCCGAGGTATTTGAACGGCTACCTGCTCTGTCAATTTGTCAGGATTCTCGATGACTTTTTTAACACCGGCTACAACATGTTCGAGGTAAGTTTGACGTTCGCTTCCATTGAAAAGTGTTCTTCGAACGCTTGCAAGCTGCACTCCAATGTGCAAAATCTGAAAAATAGTGTTAGTTCATCCAGAGTGAACAGAGGAGACCCATAATCAGAATCACCTTTTCAGAAGCGACACTAGGTAGCTTGAGATAAAGCTGAAATACGAGATCAACAAGCTTCCCATCGGTGAATGCTGTAAACAAGAGACACTCCCAACACTCTCCTATGAAAAATCTTGCCTTACCTGTTCTCCATATGGTCGGAACTTGTACAGTGTAATTATCTTCACTAGTTTCATCTGAGAGACTTCCTATGAAATCGAAAAGCAGTGTATTCAAGCAAAGGTCCAAAACAGCAAGAACAAATGGCATCTGGAAAACACAGCATACATAACTCAACCAGATATGAGCGGAACAGCCTTCTTACCTGCAAGCTGGAAATATCCTTTTGAGATATAGTATCAAGCAGAGAAACAGATGTTTCGAAGATTTCGAAAATGTGCGAGTCTCGGAATAGTGCGATTCCTTTACGATGTTTATTCACAGACTCCATACCAGCTTGCTGCAAAAGCATGATCACAAACATATGAATCGTTTACAAAAAAATTACGTAGATCAGTCTGATGTGAAATAAGATCGCTGTCAAATAAGTTAATTTAGAAAAAAAACAATTGCATACGCTTTCAGTAAGGTACCTCTGAATAAATACGAGAGTGGAACTTACCGAATTGAAATCTATCAGCAATGTAGAAAGTAGTTGTAAGGCAAGCATACTACGATTGCCACCGTTCTGGAAAGAAAATTTTGAGCCACTTGAATATATGCAGAACGTTTGGAAATTAGAGCACTGTAGAATTGGCAACATCATTCCGTTCAAATGAATGTAAATCTAGTAGACATTGCTCGAAGCACATTTAAGAAGCAAGTGGAGAATACGAGCGGGTAATCCTGAAATTATCAATGAAAAGCGTACCATGTCAATGCTGGCGATGAGATCCGACACAGGTGCATGGAATGGATGCTGGTCGCTACTATCTGTGTAAGTCCACTCCTGTTTTGTGATTCTTGCGAAAAGCTGACATAATGAGTTCACAATGAAAGGAGGAAGTGAAGCTGATCGGGCACCGAGAAGATTTAGAAGGTAGCGACCTGCAAACAGCGTTTATGAGATGACTCAGAAAAGAAGAAATTGATAATGTGGCGATCTTTTGTGATTGGGGCATTTTCGAAATCACATAACCAGATCAAACTAACGTTCGGATGTGGGGAGTTCTATGGGAAGTCAACACGTAAGTCGCAGTTGTTGCACAATTTTGAAACTGGGTGAAATTCAGTTTACGATGACATTATCGAATTATAAGGAAGAAGAAAGTTTCAGCAACATGGTATTCGGCCCATACCTATTCCTTCTAGCCGAGATGTTCTCTATAGTTCCAATCTACAACGTATACATGAAATTACCCATATAGAGTGAGATTTGTACGAAGTAATGCTAGAGGTATGCATAAACTACTTGAACATCTGACTCACTCAGAGATCAAAACACCCTATTCTCAAAACCAAATTCAAATACGCTTCAAGTGAGCGAGATGGGGTGGACGATTATTCCAAACTTTCCTTCGCAACTAGGTGGTCAAAAGTAGCGCTAAACTGTACAGTTTCGGAAAAATGGGGCTCTTGCTTGGACCGCATTTGGAGCTATGCGTCGAATTTAGTAGCTTGAATTGCAAACTAAGATAAACACTTATAAATAACCATAGCTCCGCCTTTTATTCTTCATAACCTCTTTACTCGATTCACCCAGTTCCCCTTTCTTAGACCTCGGACACAGCGCTCGCGATTTTATCGCCCGCGAATCTCCTAACAGGACACTGTTACCAGTCCATAATATGCTGATCATCTTGAATTTCGATTTTGATAGCTTTTCGACCCTACTAATCGCGACTAACTATCACAAAAGAATTGTAAGAAGAACAACATGCAATGTCGTTACAGTTGCCTTGTTGAGAGGAACTGCGTGACGATGAAATGGTGAGCACTACGCTCGAGGCCTTGGACCATCAAACATCCAGCGATATCTGTGTAACTATAGATGGACTTACAGTGCAAACCCTATTCATGCACTACGTCACCGAAATTCGGAAATGCGAAATGCATCAAGCACACATTCACCAATAAGATGGTGGCAACTAATAATGATATAAAATGGAAAAAACAACAGCAACCAAAGAACTTCTGACAATTTCAAACAGTTGAGTCAAAAACGGTTGAGGTGAATGAGAATCAGAGTACTTACTGAGTTCCAATTTCTGCTCAACAAGAATCCCTGTTTTCGAATTGAGAAGTTTCATTAGCGTGTTGCTCGCCACGATAGGACCGTAGGGTAACTGAAGTTGTTAATTATTGAACTAAATTACTACAAATGAAAAACCACTCCTTACATCGCCTTGTTCCAGCAAAAGCATGCAACTTCGTAGACATTGCGGCGATTCCACGAGCTCTGCAAGATTTTGCTCTGCTCGCGCTCGGACAACTGGATCTATGCTTTCTCCCAGTTCCTTACAAAGACGGTTCAGAACCTAGGGTAGGAATAAAATAGCAAAAGTAAAATAAATAAAACAGTTGTAAAATAGCTGTGAATTAGCTGATGATGTAAATACCGACACTTAAAATACCTCAAGCTCGCTCATCTTCTGGGATATTCCCACCGCTCGTTAAAAGTGGTCAACAATAGCAAACACAGTCCCTGAAAAATCATATGGAAATAAAAAGAACAAAGAGAAACTGTAGATAACACTGGAAGAATCTACGACGTTCTATGCAGGAGGCTAGAGTGAAAGAAAATGGAGGTGCAGAGACGCAGAGCAGGTATTCGTCTCACAATTCTGCATAATGTAGACTTACACACACTACTATGTATAGTATAAAAAAGTTGAAGCTAGTGCAATTGCGAGCGAGCCGTCCGCGTTTTTCTCCTGCAACTTCCAGTAAGTGCAAATTCACTACAGTGAAGCTGACGATCAATATCGTGCACCTGCGGAGACGACAACTTTTGCGCGGGACAAATGTGCTGTCTTATTGATTCTTGGCTATGGGGTTCAAGCCGCTTTGCACACATTGTCAAAACAAGCTTGATCGTTTTGGTAACGATTTTCTCCTTGTGGCCTGTGATCTAACCTGGGATTGTTTGCCACTTGAAAATAGGGAGGAACAAAGTTAGGAGGGACTGTAGATCCGCCCTTTGCTGGGGACCCCTCGACTGGAGCACAGATCTTGTTTGGGGCGCCACTTCTTACCGCTCGTTTTTTTTTTTCGAGCATCTTGACAAGCAGAATTTGTTTTGAGTTCTCTGAGACTTTCATTTGCGCTCCTTCACTATCATGAGTGATGGTATTGTGCTGAGCACTCCATTAGGTATGCTCCAGAAGTTGTAGGCTATGACACAGTGGAGACACAGTCCACGTAGTTCAAACAAAAATTCAGTATTGAATTTTACTGAAGGTTCTCTTTTAGGGTTTATTTGACCTGCTGATTAAAAAATCATATTTACTTCGCGTGATGTGACCTTTTTTAGGATTTAAGGTAGAAATGCGGTGTGGGTCAAGTTTTCAGATCTCGCTGGAACTTTGCACAAGGGGTCATTCGACATACTAGCACAAATACCATGTATATTGTTCAAGATAGCGTCGCTGTAACTTTGCCCCGGGGGTATATTTGACATGAATGCAGATCACGAACGGAAAGTTCATTCGTCATGGTAGCGCCTTATTGTGGAGTTATGGTGAGGATATGGGAACCGAATCCCAGGTCTGAGTGAAGTCGGTCTAGAGCGATTAGTCGACATGCTGAACACTAATATCGTTACTTTTTCGCTTTTGATGAACGACCTTCTAGCAGTGATTACGGTAGGATATGCGGCAACCGGTCGAATGGTGTGGAGAGGTTGTCTGACCTTCTAATCACGTATACTGCACTCATCTCGCATAATAAGGCCTTGTGGATTTTTGAGATCTAAACTGGTCTAGAATCCAAAAATGGGGTCTCTATGTAGCTTTATCGTAACCATAGACCGAATTTCAGCCAAGTTCGTAATTGCCCCTCACCGCACCTATTGCACCTCCACCAGGCTCGCTGTGCAAAAAGTGCATGGTTTTTGTGATCAGCGTGTCGAATAACCCTTTTGGACGAAGTTTCAGCGAAATCCGAGATTTCGTCCTTATGCGTATACCCACCATAACCCATAATAAGGTGCTAGCGTGATGATGAATATCTTATTCGTGAGCAGCGTGCTAGCACCAGATTTCAGCGAAATCGCAGATTCTATTTGGGGCCAGCACACTGGCAAAGTATCAAAAGACCTATCATGCGAAATCGACGCGGTCTATGTGATTAGCCCGTCAGAAACCCCCTCATGCCCAAAACTGCAGGCAGATTTCGATTTCGATTGCCCGTACACCCATGTAACTCCGTGAGAAGATACTAAAACGCAGAAAAACAGGTATTTCATGTTAACATATTGAAGAAACCCCTTGTCAAAGTTTTGAGCAAATTTGTAACGTTTTCACAACCGATTGCTGAAAATGGACTGTTCAGATCTCATGTGTACTGGAAAGCTCCTATCACAAAATGTCGGGTTACTTCCAGCAAGTTCAGTGCTGTACCGGTGATCCTAGCGCTAGCTCGGGCACAATTTTATTCAAGACTACTAAAGCTAGGTATCACTTATTCTCTGACTAAAAGACGCGAACACGCTTCGCGTACATCTCATCAACAAATTCATGAATGGGTTTTCAACTCGTTTTGGTTAATTACTATTAGAAATTCATGAAAGAACGTGTTCAAGCCAGCGGGGACTAATGAGCTCAAACATGTTCTTCCACGAATTCTGATAGTGAATCAATCAAAACGCGTTGAAACTCATCCATGAACTTGTTAATGAAATGTACGCAAAGCGTTCCCGCGTCTCCTAGTCAGAGAATGAATGATATCAACGATCTTCACGCCTTTCAGCCGAACAAGACCGTTCGGTTAAGTTATTCTAAAGAATAGCCAGCTCAGCGTTTAGATGGCTTTGATTCCAAGACAAATTAAGCAAAGTGTAAAGTTGCCCGCAGTGCTAATACTCGTTAAGTTAAAGGAAATTGTGTTTTTAGAGTTTGTATCCAAATTTGCCTCTTTGATAACACACCCTGAGTATGCAAGGGAGTGCAAATGAAAGTTTTTGAAAGTTTGAAGCAAGATCTGCTTGCCAAGATTTCAGAAAAAGACGAGGAATATGTGTGCGCTTCAGACAAGATTCATGCTCCAGTCGAGGGATCCCCAGCTAAGGGCGGATCTACAGTCCCTCCAAAGTTAGGCTAGTTTAGACACTGTATGCAAGGCGGTGAGTTTCTAACTTAGCCGAACAGTGAATGGTAGATACAGTCTGTCCCAATCCCAATCAGGCCTAAACTAGATTGGCGGGAGTCCTGTCGCGTTGGTTTTCCGTGACGTCTGCGGCTTGGTTTTCTGCTCTCCCCTTCTCCTCGTTTCTAGTGCAAATCCTTAGCGTTGCCGGCACGCAAATTACAGCGGTTCGGCCTGATCAGTACTGGGACAGACTGCAAATATGCTAGTGTATCATCGCCTAGCAATAAACGGGTGTATGTCGAAAGGCGCGCGCTCAGTCGTCATTGCCAGGAGAGATTTGTACTCTACAAAAGCGAGGTTTCCAAACTCCTAAAGTTTCGTCATCATATGAGAAATAGTAACAGAGGATTACTAGTTGAATCCCGGAAGTACTAAACCAATTCCAAATTTTTTTTCCTGGTTTTTCTGGTTAATGACAATCGATCAATGCGCGCCATTCGAACGTCTCCCACTCTACCCCAGTTTTCCGCGGGTGTGGTGCGGAAGGCGACAAAACCCAGCAGAGGCGAGGGAACGGTGGCCACGCCTCCCCTTTGCCTGCTGTTTAGTGCTGGCCTTGAGTCAATTAGTCAGATTGACGCTCTTGTAGCGCATAGGCTGGCACCTGAATGGTGGCGGTGCCGTCTTCGACTACTCTGTTTTATCCATAAGAGTTCGTTGTGTAAAATTGGTAGGTGTGATCACTCAGTGTATAAGGAAAGGTTACTAACGCAAGTTGTAGACTCGTAGATTGTTTGCTGATAGCTAACTGATTGAGTGTGAGATTTGGCAGCGAAATTCGATTTCGGTCACCATCTAACTCACGCATATGATCAGTTCCCAGGTTCGTGTGGAGGTGTGTTGCAGACTTTGCCTGATAAAAGGATAAACTTGTGAAACCTCCATGTTATGGCATTGCTTTTCGTATTCTCTCGCTAGCAAAAATCGCCCCGCTGTGAGTTGGCAAGACTCCACCTCCACACCTCTACGAATCTGGAAGCCGACTATATTTCGATTAGCTTCTGCACTGAATAAGGATAACGGAATTGCATCAGTTCTATGCAGTTATGTAGCTGTCATTCGGATAGAGATGAATCAAACACAATAAATGCTGCAAAGCAGTTTTCTTTCGAGTCTCAAAGTAAGAAGAATCCTTATTTTCAGGCAAAGTGTCAACATCAATTTGTATCCAGCCGTACCTCGAACTCAATATAGCCGCGATATCTTTCAGAATTTAGCCTTTGTCAATACTTCAAGTTCATCTTATTTTTTCTGCTCACTATTCTTCGTTTGACAGGGCAAAGAGAAAAACCACTTTATTCGCAACAAAATCGCACCAGATATAGGACAAAAAAGGAAATGATACCATCACTCAGCAATGTAGAATGCAACTTCACTTCAAAAACAAGAAATCCCTGTACAAAGTTTCCAAAGTTCTTTTGTAAGTCTATTTGTTCCACATAGTCATTATCGACAACGGTATCACAAGGGACCATTATGTATACAGAAATACTGCTTACAAGTGAATGAAGCCATGTTAAGTACCATTTCTTCAAGAAAAGACAAGAACCTAGGACCGTTAGGATAGCTAAAATAAAAAAACCATATGAATATACAAAAGTTAAACTTAAACAGAATTTGGCACTGAAACTCGAGTGTAAGTAGCAGAGTTTACAGAATGCTCACGTCAATGGCCCTTGAGCTCGCCTCTTTCGAATGTACTTAGGTGTGAGATCCATCCTTCAAAAGAAACGATCGGCGAAGTCAAGCAAAAGGAGTGAATGAGAGCTCTTACCTCATAAGTCCATAGCTATGGCGCACGAAGTTGAAAGCGATTTTTCTGCATCTCAACTAAAATGGAATGATTAAGTCGCGCAAACATTTTGATGATAACAAAAAGGCTAGCTATGAACAGGGGGAGGACATTCATAAGGTTATATCCATATAAGAAAATGATGAAATGGAAAAGTAGAAAAGCACAGAACACAAGAAAGGTCATACCTCTGATGAGTCAGGTGACGACTCCTCTTGCTCGCTTATATGTGCAACTACATGAAGGAACTCCCGTATCAGTAATACACCTCATACCCCTAAAGCAAAAAGCAAAAATGTTTACACAGAAGGTGAAAGATATAGAACCGTAAAGGACAGACAAGAACAGAGACAAAAATGAATCACACAAGAAACGAAACATGTAGAAAGCGTGCAGACGCGCTCCAGTACAAAGATTGGAAGGACGAGAGTTGACGACAACTCGGACAGGGCGTGGCCACTAGTCGTGCCTGTTCCAGGGCATTTGTCGCCTTCCGCGTGTTCCCCGTTTTCCGCCGTCCGGAAGGTTTTGGAGTGACGTGTAGTTGCACGCCCTGCGCACCCTCCGCGCCCTGCGCAGACGGCCTATATCTAATCAACATGTGCTAGGCCGCGGAAATATTCTTTCTCAATGTCACTGAAGTTTTTGATGCTGTAAAACATATATTTCGCTGGTTTTTTTGGCTACGGAATGAAAGGTGAGGTTGCGTTCTACAGTTTTCCTTACTAGTAGTCTTCCACCCCGTCCAGAAGCCCCCTCGCGCTTACAGATTGGGGTGAAGCGATCAATTACAAACAGATCATGATTGTGAAGTAAAGTACCGCAGCTCTACCATAATCCTTTCATGGAAACAACGAGATTGTTCATATAGCTACTTTGTCAAAAAAAAAAGCTAGATCAATCCGACCCGACCCTAGTGGTCCCGAAAGCTTCAGTTTTGAGTGGTAGTCTCATAAATTCCTTTTTTTCTGAGATGAGTTTTGAGTAAATTTCGAGTGAATATTCCTTAAGAAGCGTCTTGTACAAGGTAAGAGTCCCTTTTGGTTTGATTATTGGACAAAGGGACCTTCTTTCGTAGACTGTGTGCTATAGTGTGCACCCCGGCCAGTTTCCCATAGGTAGCTCCGCGGCGCAACCGCAGCGCGTGCATTTCTTGATGCTTCTCACCTCACTTGTGAGCAAAGAGCACATCTACGCACCATAGAAGAGAATTGAGAAGTGGAAACCCGTAAATACACTTCGAAAGAAACGTATACTAGAATAAAACGCACGCACTTCAAATCTCAGACTTGCACCGATGGAAAAGCGGTAATAAGTAAACGTAGAGCAGAAAGAACAACCGCATTCTCAAAACGTTTCTCTTTGTAAACTTAGAAACTAGAATGGTAAAATAACTCAGAAAATGTAGATATTTCCGTAAACAAATCCCTATCGGCTTCTCGAAAGGCTTAGTTCGACTTGATACACTGTCTACACTTTAAAAATTGAGTCGAGAGGGAGGGACTCTTATTTAGTACAAAAAGCTTTTGGAGGAATATTCTCTTAGAATACACCTCAAATCTCAATCTCTCTCAAAAAAAAAGAAGGGAAAAACAGAAGACTAGTACTCAAGACCGAAGCTCTCAAGCCTAGTAGAGCACGTGAAACCTCGTCGCCGGTTATGCGAATTGTTTATACCTGAAATAGAGGGAATATAGTAAAACAAAAACAAGAAAATGAGAGAAAAACAGGGAATTCCATCGACAGGAGGCGCGCTGAAGGCGTGCGTTGCGGATGCGTCGCGTAGGTACATACCTATGGGAAGCTGGGCGGGGTACACTATACATCTGTATTCAGCATGTCAGATAAGCTTCATACCCAAAGTTCCGAGTGAATTCGAAGTGTTTGAATTTTACCGCTTGAGAAGGATTTCTGTGCTTTCTTGAAAGGAGCAAGATAGATTCAAGAAAATTAATTTTGTACATGGTACACATCATTATTGAAACTACGGCTTTTCTCTTTGAAATGGAAGCAAGGAAAATTTGCGACGTCGCACACGTCGTTCGCGTTGCGCATTTCGTTGAAAGTGTTGTTCGATTTGTCCTCTCTCCCGAACAAAAGGCGCGGTACAGCTTTGATACATGTGAAAAGGGGATAATGTGTTCCTATCCGCCTCACCCTTGGGCCGGAACCCAGCTGAACCTCCTTCACCCAAGGCCGACGAGGAGCTGGAAGGAGTGAGACTAAAATATCAAAATTTTAAGCAAATTAATAAAACTACCGGCATTATTAAAATCAAATTTCGTGACATGTTGATTCTAAATATTATTATTGTCAAAAACTTGATTGCAGGTTCACTGAGAACTACGTCGGAAATTTGCAGGCGATTGTTCACTTCTGGAGAACGACGAAAAAGCGTGGAAAAAAATTTACGTGTGAGGCCTTCGTGTATATATGCCAACTAGTTGGCAAACCCGGCTCCGCCCGGCTCTGTCAATAACATATTTGTAATCAGCATGCTTGATTACCCCCTGTGCCAACTTCCAGCCCCGTAGCTCAAATTTTGCGGAAAATCGATAAAATCGATAACGATCGATAACAAAAAGTAGCCTATGACACGCCCTGCCCCGAAGTATATGTGTGCCAAGTTTGGTCCACATCGGTTCAGAAATAAAAATTTCTATTCCGCACATACGTACAGACAGACATACAGTCGAGTAGATTTCCTGCTTAATATAGTGTTCCTGCAGACGCGACAACGCTGGGGCGTCAATAAATGCCTTGCGAGTTCCCGAGCTAGTGTTTTCCAGTGTTTTCTTTGCTTATTTCATACTTTTTGGGTGATTCGTTGCTGATAAAGAAGAAAGGGGTAAGTTAGAGAGTAGTTCCTGTTTTCTGAGAAGTTTTATCATCGCATATTCACAGATATCCACGGAAGCAGATCGCGTCAGCTTCTTGTCTATTTTTTTGTCACTTCATATCTCTTTCTTCTTGTGAGGTATTTCTGAACGCCAGTGGGTTTTTACTATTGACTTATTGTCCTCATCACATGAAGTGCTTGATTAAAATGCTATTTCTTACGCATGAAAGCCGAAGTTGCTGCAAGACAAGCCAACTAGCGTTCAAAGAAACACCTTACAAGAAGGAGGAGGTTTGAAAGAAGAAGTGACAGAAGAAAAGGAAATGACAAAAAAGAAATAGACAAGAAGCTGACGCGAAATACTTCCACGTGGATATCTGTGAATATGCGATGATAGAACTTCTCAGAAAACAGAAACTACTCTTTAACTTACCCTTTTCCTCTTTATCAGCAACGAATCAACAGAAAAGCAAGAAATAAACAAAGAAAACACTGGAAAACACTAGCTCGGAACTCGCAAGGCAATTATTGACGCCCCAGCGTTGTCGCGTCTGCAGGGACACTATATTAAGCAGGAAATCTACTCGACTGTATATATCTTTGATTCAACTGGTTTAGCTCCGTCAGGGCAGGCCGCTCCGCCCGCGACGCACCTGCGTCTCTCGCGCGCGAGTGCTCTCTGATCATTACCTAGCCTTAGGTCACGAAGCCTCGCCTTTGCCGAAGCTCAGCCAGTTGAATCGATTGTAGGTACATACATACACACACTCGCTTTATATATAAGATAAAGTTACTCACGTATTTGCTGAAATAATGAGTGAAATAACTAAATAAACTTTGATGGTCGGTGCGTAGTTGAATTGCATTCTTTTGAAGAGGATTAAATTTTCTACGCAGATGGCTAATTTTTCTATAAAAAATTGTAACTTTTTCATATGAGCAGATGGGAGAGTTTCTAACCATACATTGAACCATTGTTGAAAGCTTTCAGAAAATATATATGCCAGGAAAAAAGGATTTTCGTATGTGGCAAAAGTGGTCGTAATTGTTCTTCTAGAATTAAGGGAATTTTTTTGTAAAAAATTGTAACCTTCTACATGAAAAGCTAGAAGAGCCCTTGGCACTTTGTTGGAATAAGCTCATCCACACAAACTTTGCTTTGCCAACTTCGTCCGCTTTCTGAAAATATGTAGGTTGCCGGGAAAAAAGGTGATTTTCCTATCAGGTGAAAGGGGTCGTAGTCGTTTTTCCGGAATTAAGCCAATTTTTAATTTAAAAAATTATAACATTTTTATATGAGGAGCTGGAAGAATGTTTAGGTGTTCATTGAATTCCTCCCGTCGTCCGTTTCAGAAAATATATAGGTTGTGGGGAGAGGGATGCTAAAAGTACGTGGTGAAAGAAGAGGGAACATGGTATAATGGAAATGTTCCTTTATGTACTCCAAAGACGACGACGGAGCTAAAAGAACATGCCCATTATACCGTGTTCCCTCCCCTTTCACCACGTACTTTTAGCATCTCTCTCTCCACATCCTATATATTTTTTGAAAGCGGACGGAGAGAGGAATTTTATAAAGTGCCAAAGGCTCGTCTAACTTTTCATATAGTGAAGTTACAATTTTTTATAGAAAAAAATTCCCTCAGTTCTAGAAGAACAATTACGCCACATAGAAGAATCCTTTTTTTCCTGGCATGCTATATATTTTCTGAAAGCTTTCAACAAGGGTAATTCTATGTACGGCTAAAAACTCTCCCATCTTCTCATATGAAAAAGTTACAATTTTTTATAGAAAAAATATCCATCTGCGTAGAAAATTTATACCTCTTCAAGAGATTGCAATCCAACTGCGCACCGACCATCAATTATTTCACTTATTATTTCAGCAAATACGTAAATATTTCATTGACATATATACACGAAGGCTTCACACGTAAATTTTTCTTTAGGCTTTTTCGTCGATCTGAAGTGAACAATAGGCGGCAAATTTCCGACGTACTTCTCAGTGAACGCAAATAAGTTTTTGACAATCATAATAATGACATTTAGAATCAACATGTCAAATCAATTTGATTTTAATAATGCCGGTAGTTTTATAATATTGCTTAAAACATTGATTTCTTATTCTCACTTCCTCTAGTTTTTTTCTCCGAAATTTCAGCGGATAAAACTTAATATTCGAATTCAATGCGGTTTGGCTACAATTTCACATGATGCATGTGAATGAAAGGAAGATGAGAAGCAATGATGTGGAACATTGCCCTCCCCCCGGTCGACGCACCTTAACAGCGGTGGCCGCTCCCTCCCCCCCCCCCCCCCCCCGTCGGCGCTCATACCCCCTTCACCCTGGAAAGGCAGGACCCCTATGACCCCCTTCATGAGGCCGTGTTCCCCCTTCGCACACGTATGACAGCTCTACAGAGTCATTTAAAAAGGAGGAGCTTAGGCCTTTAACTTGATAACCTTGGACTGAAAGAAAGCCTCCTGTAAACGTCAAAAAGATCCTTCAAAACCACCGACTGCACCATGTGCAGCACCGGTCCAAAAAGTGTTAAAGTGTAGAAAGTGTCTCAAGTCAAAATCAAGATTTTCGAGAAACCGGTAAGAATTTGCTTAACGTTTCTTGAAATTATTCACGATTTTAATAGGTTGGTGCAAAAATAATGTCCATTTTGCATAGTTTTGTTTTGAAAAGCTATAACTTTGTCCAGTCTTCATATTTCAAATGTCATTAAGATCATCAGAAGCAGTAAACCTTCCGTAACCTAATGCGCATCTGATGATACTGATATCGCAAACGGGAAGAAAACTATGCGTCAAAAAAGCGAAAGTTTCCCTTTCGAAGACCTCGTCTTTGAGAGGTTATAACTCCTTTCAAATTTTGTTCTTATTACTGCTGAACAGCTTATTTTATAGACGCAAGCCAGAGTATATGTTTGTTTTGAAAAAACTTCAACGAAGGGTATCTGCGAAGAGAAGATAAAATTGTTCCCTTTTTTTGGAGTCTACTTGTGGTAGGCCAGAAAGTCCCAAACTATGAAAATCTGAAACGTAGTTACGCGTAGTTAGGTTGAAAGCAAACTTTTTTTAAAGACACGAGTTTGGATTACAGCTTTCTATCGTTCCGCATGAACACAGTGCACTACTGACCCTAGCCGATTTCTCAGCTTTTTAATAAAAAATGTGCAGAGGGATGTCAAGTAACATCGTAGAGAGATTCCACTGCTACCCTTCTCTGGGAAGAAAATGTAGTCAAAAAAGTGAGCGGCTTATCGAACTTCTTATTCATTGTAGAATTCTATGCGGCTTTGAGGGCTAATCCTAAACCGTTGTTTGTTTTTAGGCAAAAGTAACAACTTAGTTGGGTTTTCTGCTTAGGGTACAGTGATTGCTCAGAAATGTCATTTTCACCCACAAAATAAAGAGGTCATGTCGTTGCTAGACTAGAACTGTAAAATAAGGAAAAAGTTCATGTATGGCGCAAATTTTATAATGAAAAGCGATTGTCAAGATCTTATGGGTCCTAAAAAGACCTAGCACTCTTATCTTGACAGTATAAACTAGGATTTGTTTCGGCAATCAAGGCCTGGACTCCTAAATAGCGCTCGAAAACGGCTTCGTTTTCTCGAAAAGTTTACAAACGATATGGAAAGAGGAGCGAAGGCGACAGAAGAGAGCAAGTCTTACTCAAATGCTACGCTTCAGAAAAGAGCTGCATGAAATTTGAGCCAGGCATGCGTGAACATTTTCGGGGTTTCATGCGCCTAAACTTGCGGGTCTCACATCCAGAGGTGCGATGGGGGCAGCCGGGCCCTAAGTGAAGGTGGCCCCAGCTACCACTGACCAGCCAAAAGTGAAGGTGGTAGTGCCGGACACTCACCTCCAAAAACGTCGACCGGAGGGGAGGAGAGGGGGCATTAACCTCTATCCTTCCAGGTCGTTGCCGCCAGTGCGCGGAAAATAAGCAAAACAAATGCAAAAGAGATCATTGAAAGCATATTTTTATGTATACAGCGACATGTCTAAAATAAACCTGCTTATACAATGGTGTTAGAAGTAAAACTCAGCGGAACCGTACGGTTTCATTAAGTAAATCTTGTTGTAACGTACAGCGAAGAAAGTAGATCGATTCAGGGAGTAACCGCCAAGAACCAGAATTTTGAATAACTAAGTAGTGAAAAATCATGGGAAATTTTCACTGTTATAAATCTGTTGTTTAAAGATGTCAGCAGTTGCGACTCCATAGGTTTTGAAGAGTAAACGGTGCTCCATCAGCTAGTGAAAAAATCGAGTGGATTTGGGAGATATTCGTTGAAAACCAGAATTCTAAAAATTTACGCCATTTTTGCGTGTTTTTTGACAGTTGACAGTCGAACTCGTATAAATCTTGAATGTGAAAGTGTATGATGTTGCGACTTCAAAGGTTTTATAGAGTAAGGTTTGCCTTATCAGGGTATATCTTAGCCGTTCCAATCCATTGAAACAAGTCCGAGATCCAGAGTCTTGAAAAAGCAGGTAAAAAAGCGCTTTTTGAACTTCAACAGCTCATAACTTCTTCAGAACTGCATGAGTCATGTTGCGACTTCATAGGTTAGATTCTACTCATCAAGAGCTTTCAGGTGATATATAATATGTGGGGGTTTAGGACCTCCTACGATTTATGCCCGTGGGGGGAGACTTTTCATCATAAATTCTCCCCCAGCCCACTTCAATGTACTGGGTGGAGGCCGCCAGGGGAGAATCTGTGATAAAAAGTCTCCCCCACGGGCATACGTCGTAGGAAGCCCTCAACCGCAACATGTTCCATATCATCTGAAAGCTCTTGATGAAAAGAATCTAATCTATGATTTGAATTTATATTTTTACTTAGAATTTAATGAACAAGGCCCCTCCAGTATGCGGGCCTCAAAATTCTTTTGGCATGGATTTCACTCAAACTTGTCTAGGGAGGGTATATCCGACCCGCTGGCGGAATATATCAATATTGTTTTTCTACCATGGTCGTTTCCGGGGCGGTGGGTATACGGTGGGAGAACGAAAGCCGCCAGTTTGATCCGCGTCCGCGGATTACTGGTCCTGGAACGACACGCAACAACACTGCGCAATTACCACTTGGCCCCAAAATGGCCTCAAATGGCGGCCTTCTTTCGCGTGTCCGCTTGGCAGGAGCACTGGGAGGTGGTATCGAAAGGCACTGGGAGTATTCGTTGTGAGACCCGCAAGTATGCGTACACAAAAGGCATGTCCGAAGAACTGTTTACGCATACCTAGCTCAAAATGGTTTCATGGAGCTTTCTTCTGAGGCATAGCATTTGAATGAAACTCGCTCTCTTCTTCCTTGCCTTTGCTCCTCTTTTCATATCGTTCGTAAACTTTATGATGGAAACAAAACCATTTTCGTGCGTTGTTAACGAGTCTAGGTATTTTGAAGGCCGAAACAAATTTCAAAGCTTGCACCTTTGAGATACAGAGTGGTAGGTCTTTCATTAGGACCCATAAGATCTTGACAATTGCAACGCATTATGAGATTTGCGCCATACATGAACTTTTCCTTACTTTGCAATTTTTTCTTCTACCAGTGACATGATTTTTTTGTCGATGAAAGTGACATTTCTGTGCAACCCTTTAAAGCAGACTACCCAACTAAGTTGTTACTCATGCATAGAAGCAATGATCAAGTGATTAGGCTTGGAGCCAAAGAGGATCTTACATTATACAAGAAGCTCATTAGTACCACTCATATTTTTTTGCCACATTTCTTCCACAAAATAGCAGTGGAATCTCTCTACCAACATTTCCCTGCTCATTCTTTTACGAAGAAAACTGAGAAATTTTATTGCCGTATTCATGTGGAACGATGGGAAGCTAGAATCTAAACTTATGAGTTCCTTGAAAAAAGTCTGCTTTTCATCCTAACTATGTATGACCACTTCTGATGGCCAAAGACTGAAGAAAATTCCATAGTTTCTTATCTCGTTAGTTATCATCACAGTCGTACTATTGGGTAAGTCACACGTGAACGTTTTTTTTTAATTCCAATTGTTTTATCCCTTCCCTCCCCCCCCCTTTTTGGTTGTGGTTTGACGCAGTGCTTACGGGCAAGTAGTATCACTTGTAGAATTCACTTTGCAGAAGAGAAACTGTTGCTCAATTGCTTTACGAAATAAATTGGTCTGTGACCATTTTTGATCTCTTCCGCTCCGAAGTTCGTATGATTTTAGGTTGTCGTATGGTCTGGAGGCAGAATCTTGAACAGCCAGAATTCCACTCATGCTTTCTTTGAGTTTTTATCTCTCCTACCTTCACCCAATCCTGTTATGTGTGTGTGCAAAAGAGCACATGCTTAGTTGAAGACTATGTAGGGTAAAAATCTTGGGTTACATATGATCTGAGGCCCTTACTTGTAGAATGGAGTTTCGCTCATTATGCGACTTGACCAGAGTGCGATTAGACGAATGGAATAGTAATCGAGGCAGGGTCGAAACGCAGTACTATGAGCTAATCAAGCAGGTAAGTGGGAGTTTTACAAGTTTCGCTGTCACATTCGTAGGCAACTTGTCGTTCAGATAGTGGAAAATAATCGGGCGATTGTTTTTGAGGCAGCGGCTGTTGCTGAAGAATTTGCTGAGGTTTTCGAAGGTAATTTTGTTTACTTGTTTGGTCTGTATATCTATGCAAATACAGGGAGCGGTTTTCGAGGGATGTCTATCATCTCGAACAGAACGAATGTGCTAGGTGTCTTTAGAGTAAATTCACACTAATGAAGGATGTTATAGCCTACACCACAAATCTAAGTTTCACAGTCGTTAGGGTACCCTCGTATACAGTGACCTCAAAGACTATGTGGCACATTCAAGCAGAGCCGAGGTGGCTCTTCGAAAATGCAAAAAAGTCCCTCTTGACTTTTACTAAATTTTACGGAGTCCCCTTTGACCCTCAAAAAAAACGAAAAATCGACTAGAAAAACTTAATTTATTTCGGCTACGAAAACGATATTCCCTCAGATTTTTGTCTCAAAAACGGCACCCAGCCTGCTTACAGCCACCTGTGCCGAGCCCTCCATTCAAGAGAGATATGGGCTAATAATTATGTGTACACGATTTTGCTAAACTGTTTTTGTGGAGAAAGCAGCTTTAGAAGATTTCTGCCATTTTAGTAGTTCTGTGCTCTTTCTTCGATATTCTGCAGCTTACGGCAGAATTTTTGGTCGAAAACTAAACGCATCGTTACTGGTCATTGCTATTGGCTGCTACTTTCAGGTCGGGCGCTAGAGCTCGTGATACTGGACTCGATTTTGAAACGCAAACTTGTCGAAGCTATTACAGCGCTCGTTGCATTTGAGGTTGTTCCGTTTATATATACAGGGTGTCCCAAAAATGTGCACACTGTTTGATCGTTAATATCTCTCCTTTCAAGAAATCTTTTGCTTATCTTCGTAGCATTTTGTAGAGCTGGCTTCAAGATTTACAGTGGGGGCAAAACGCTGATCGCTTTTCATTTCTGTATGATTACGGTATGAACTTTTGGCTTACAGCGTCATTGTGATGGAGGACAATCGCTATCCGCTTCATTCTACAAATCTAAGCCTAAGTCAGCTCTGCAAAACAGTGTTTGATGGTAGACAAAAGACTTCTTGGGAAAAGAGATATTAACGACAAGACAGCGCATACATACTTTTGGGACACCTTGTATTTTTGCTCTTTAAGACAAAGTCAAGGAACGAAATGTTTAGGAACGCAATCTAAGGGTATATGGCATAGAAAACCGTCGTGACTTTACCCCGCCAGCAACGGTAGGTGGCTAAATATACAGGTTCTTCGATATATTAGGCTGATGCACTTGCACCAAAATAGAAAAAAATGTTTAATGCTTAAGCAAACTAATCAAATAACAGGATATGCGCTCTGTTATGTATATCAAAAGTAGTATTACATGGTACATTCTAGAAAATCAACAATAAACAAAATTGATAAGTCCATTTGAAAACGAAATTTGTAATTATTCGCAGAGACATCCAGTCACTACCAACTTCTTTTTAAACTAAAAAGAGCATGTTTTAGATCTTAGACTAAAAATAAATTCAAATTCTGGTAGATGTTTTTCAGCTGTTTTAGTGACTAAAAGTCGAAAAACCGATATTCAAATATTTCTCTTACTCACCCTGTATCTTTGCGATATACCCTCAAGGAATCTTGTCTCTAGTGCCTTTAGAAAGCCCAAAATTTGTTCGTCCTCCCAGTATATCAGACCAGAAGATTTCATCGAAGCTGGATGAAGTATCAGAATTACAAAATTTGGGTGCAAGAATTATCATCAATTTGATAATTCAAGTTATTTAGTCGACAAATGTTAGATTTAGACTCCGTGGCATCTCGTTCGTCCCATTCTGAATAAGCTCAGTCGTCTGAACAAAATTCTCTATTCGCTGAGGCCAGAATTTTTACCACGTCTTATAGCACATGCTGAAATGGTCAAGGTATGTTTCTACTCACTCATAAAAAGTTTCGTTGGCAAAATCAAAAAGGTTAGTATTTTGGTGCAAGGTTTGGTTGATTGCGGAGATGGTCTTCTTCTTCCCCTAGCTCCTATTACTATGGTTTAAATTTCGAGGAATAAGCTAGGTTGTTTCTTTAGTTATGAGAATTCGAAATTTTGAATGAGAAGTTCTCATTACTTTTGCCTCACTCTAGCAAAGAGTTCCTTCTTTGATTTTTCAAAGCCTCTCTATTTTTGCTCGATACATCCTTTAGTAGAAATCTCGACATCCTGTGCGCAAGCGGGCGTAACAACTAAACGTAAAGTCGGCTGCGGATCAAAATGTTATTAACGATTATTACATCTTGATTTGCTATCTTATAGGCAGCTCAAATGCTAATCAACATAGCACTGCAAGGAGTAAAAACGTTAGATTCGGAAACAGCCCTGAAACAACAGAAACTTCTCTAAATTTTTAAGAAAGTTAATATATCCCTTTAGAGTTGTTTCTAGCATTCTTTTGGTGTCCAGTGTTATTGCTCCATTGTTTTGCCAATTATATAATTTTTTGAGATGACATCCTTGTAGTAAACTCACTCGAAAAAAAAGAAAAAGAGAAGAAAGAGGCAGAACTGTGATTTTTTCAACTCTTCCTTATTTGCCATTCTCTGAGTTCCGGGAACAATTTATGGGCAAAATCTCAGCTGAGAAGCTGGCTTTGATTTAGGGTAAATGAACACCCTCGTTTCTGAATCAGAGGTGCGATAGTGGGAGCCAAGTCTCCCCCTACCTTCACTTTTGAGCTGGTACGGGGTGACCACCTTCACTTTTGGAATAAAAAATTTTTCGCTGGACGACAAAGAAGGAAAATAAGCAAAACAAACGCAAAAAAGATTATTGAAAGCATATATTTATGTATACGGCGGCATATATATTTAAAATAAAGGTTTTTAGTAAATGGTGTATTTGGAAGTAAAGCTTAGCAAAACTGTACGGATTTTATTAAGCAAATTATGTTATAACGTATAGCGAAGGAAGTAGGTCGATCCAGGCAGTAACGGCCGAGAACCAGAATTTTGAATATTTAAATAGTGAAAAATCATGCGAAATTTCCACTGTTATAAATCTGTTGTTTGAAGATGTCAGCAGTTGCGACTCCATAGGTTTTGAAGAGTAAACGGTGCTCCATCAGCTAGTGAAAAAATCGAGTGGATTTGGGAGATATTCGTTGAAAACCAGAATTCTAAAAATTTACGCCATTTTTGCGTGTTTTTTGACAGTTGACAGTCGAACTCGTATAAATCTTGAATGTGGAAGTGTATGATGTTGGGACTTCATAGGTTTTATAGAGTAAGGTTTGCCTTATCAGAATATGTCTTGTCCTTTCCGATCCATTGAAACACCTCCGAGATCCAGAGTCATGAAAAAGCAGGTAAAAAAGAGCTTTTTGAACTTCAACAGCTCATAACTTCTCCAGAACTGCATGAATCATGTTGCGACTTCATAGGTTAGATTCCTCTCATCAAGGGCTTCCAGATGATATATAATATGTGGGGGTTTAGAGCCTCCTGCGAATTATGACCGGGGGGGGGGGGGAGACTTTTTAGGCCAAAGTCTCCCCCTCGCCCATTTTAATGTATTGGCTGGAGGCTGCCGGGGGAGACTTTGGCCTAAAAAGTCTCCCCCCCGGGCATATGCCGTAAGAGGCGCGAAACTCCCACATATTCTATATCATCTGAAAGCTCTTGATAAGAAGAATTCAACCTATGAAGTCGCAACATCATACACTTCCACATTCAAGATTTATAAGAGTTTAACTCTCAACAGTCAAAAAACACGCAAAAATGGCGTAAAGTTTTAGAATTCTGGTTTTCAAGACTATCTCTTAAATCGACCCGATTCCTTCACTAGCTGATAGAGCAACATCTACTCTTCAAAACCTATGAAGTCGCAACTGCTGACATCTTCAAACAACAGATTTATAACAGTGGAAATTTTGCATGATTTTTCACTATTTATTTATTCGAAATTCTGATTCTCGGCCGTTACTGCCTGGATCGATCTACTTCCTTCGCTGTACGTTATAACAAAATTAAATTGATAAAGTGCGTACAGTTCCGCTGAGTTTTACTTCCAAATACACCATTTACTAAACACGTCTATTTTAAATTTTTATAAAAAAAATTTATAAATATTTTTAATATTTATGGTATCTGTGGCCCTAAAGAGGGCCGTTGGGTCACAGTTCGACCTAGAAAGATAGTTCTGTTCGCCCGTTCTACCCCCCCCTCGCACCTCCCTCCCCCCCCCCCCCCCGTCGACGTTTTTGGGAGGTGAGTGTCCGGCACTACCACCTTCACTTTTGGCCGGCCAGTGGTAGCTGGAACCACCTTCACTTTTGGTGGGCCCGGCTCCCCCCATCGCACCTCTGTTCTGAATCCATTAAGTGACACCGTGGGTCATGGCCCCTTCAAGAAATTTTTTCTGTGATCCACATCTTTTTTTTTCAAAGATGGTTTTTATTGAGCAACTTCGTGAGCTTGTAAAAAAGCAGCCGCAGCCTCTTAGTTACGCAAATTATCAACATTGTTGAAAAACTTGTGCAAATAGCTCTCAAATAGCTGGACTGTAATCAAAGTTGGTTATAGTTTTTAGTTACTTTATCAAATTTTCGCATTATTGATCTTACCACGATGGTGGAGGGGGGGGGGGGGGGAGGGGTGGGGTGTAGAAGATAGATGTAGTTGTTGTTCACGAAAATACAGACTTGTGAATGTACTCTCATCGATTTCATCGATGTTTTGCTCGTCCTCGGGATTGACTGTAATCTCGAGGACGCGGCGAAGAACTTGATTATACAGGGTGTCCGAAAAAATGTATCGAACGTTTGATCGTTAATATCTCTCTTCCCAAGAAGTCTTTTGCCTTGCATCAGGTACCGTTTTGTAGAGCTGGTTTCAATTTAGATTTGCATTATAAAAACAATCACCCATCTCTCTTTATTACTGTAGGATTACGGTAGAAACTTTGAGCATATGGTGTCAATGTAGAAAAAGCTGTCGTTTCAAAATTTTTCAAAAAAATGTGAAAACTTGTGTATTGGGGTTTTTATGGACGCTGAGTTCAATACTCAATACTCAATACTCAATACTATTCACAAGATTACGAAGCTTTCTAAACGGTGTAACCGCACTTTTTAGGAACATTGAAAAAATGGCCGCTACCTCTTACCTGGCATAACTCTTTAATGAAGCATCATAATAAATTGGGAACTTTACAGTTATAATCAGCAACTCTAATAGCCTAGTGTAAAAGATTTCAGGCTGTTTTGTTTCCTTTCTGGGGCAAAATTTGGCCTTTCATTGCTTAAAACCCTCTTTGAAATTTCTACCGTAATCCTACAGTAATGAAGAGAGATGAGTGATTCGTTCTATAATGCAAATCTAAGATGAAGCCAGCTCTACAGATTGGTACCTGAAGCAAGGGAAAAGACTTCTTTAGAAAAGAGATATTAACGATCCGTTCGATACATTTTTTTGGGACACCCTGTATATAGGTCTTAAGCACGTTTAAAGGCAGTACATCGGCAGAATGAGACCCGTGACAAAACAAGGTCACAGGGAAGGAGCCCCCATATGGAACCTACCAGCCAAAGTCCGATCTTTCTCTGCCACTTCTAACCCCCGAAATTTCAAAGCGAAAGCAGCGCTCACCTCCTGTCCTCTCCGAACCCGCCCACCCCATGGACGAGTGACTTCCGCGGTCAGAGCGCCAGCCGCAATGCTATAAGCATGAGGTCCCGCAACGACTCTGCGTCTTCGCCATGACGGGCTTCGCGTTCACTCGTCCATGGGGTGGGCGGGTTCGGAGAGGACAGGGGATGAGCGCTGCTTTCGCTTTTAAATTTCGGAGGTTAGAGTGGCAGAGAAAGATCGAACTTTGGCCCATAGATTCCATTATGGGGGCTCCTACCCTGTGACCTTGTTTTGCCACAGGTCTCATCCTGCCGACCTACTGCCTTTAAATAAGCAAGATGCGTATGATTTTTCTTCCAGACTCTAATTGCCGAAGACCATGCTCCTGATATTCTTGAGCAGTTTCGCATGTTCTTCCAAAATGTGAAGCTCGAACGCGACGACGTAAGGAATTTGATGATGGGATACTTTCCTCAATAGAATAATATTTGGATTTTCTGCGAGCAGGGCACGTTGTCTCGCCTCAGAGACTTCTGCATTGAAATTTATGAATTTGAATTTACTAGTTTTACACTAGTGATGTTTACAGGCTGATGCTTCATTTTTTTGTTTTTGTAACGTTATGACCTGTCCATGATATTGTACGTATTGATTTTTTTGGCTCACAAAAGCTGTACTAAAGTTTTTGAATGAAATTTTGGAGCAGCTTTACTGCCTTCTATCAAGATTAGCTGACGCTCGTTTTATTATTTATGGGTATATGTGGTTATTTATGGGTATATGTGGTTAAACGTCAGTGGAGGTCGTGTTGTTGCCATATTGACCTTTCATTACATTGAAACCACGGTTTCAAACCTCCGAACGCTTTTAATTCACCAGCAAAAAATCGTATAGATGCAAACAGAGACTGAAATGTTCGAGTTGGTCGCAAGGTAAAAGAATCTTTATAAGTCATCTTGATGAATATCTCATCCATGTACAACATCACATTTTTTGAAAAAAAGACGCGAATGTCGCATCATGTATGAACCATGTCCCGCTTCAGATGGACGAATTCCCCATCTGAAGCAACCATTTGACTCAGCTCGGCGCGGCGCATCTTCTGATATATAGGAGTGACCACTTGGACACAGTAGGAGGTTAGATTTCAGGAGTCGTTTCAGATCTTTGCCTACGGTAGGTTGCCCAGTGGGTGCAACGAATAAGCACTGAGTAACCTACCATAAGCAAAAATCTGAAACGATTCGTGGAATCTGACCTCCTGCTGTGTCCAGTGGTCACTTCTATATATCAGAAGATGCGCCGCGCCGAGCTGAGTCGAATGGTGGCTTTAGATACAGAATTTCCGACATCACTGCAGATGGCTCTCCTACAAACAATCTATGCTTTTTTCCCTTACCAACAACAATGGTCCAAGAAGTATCTCTGTGCAGACTACCAGAAATCCATTTTTTGAAAATTGTGAAATTTGCGGTTTGTGCTTTGTCGTAATTAACATTGTCAGTCATTTTTATCGATTTTCTTGATTTTTTGCAAACTTGACCTTGGCGAATGATAGCGGGTAAGGGACTATATGTCGCCGAAAGTGCGACGTCCCGTCGGACATCTGCAACAAATGCACATTTGCATAGTTTCCGCGGGACCCTCCCCTTTCGGCAACATATAGTCCTCTACCCGCTGGTAGCTAGTATAGGGGTAGTAAAACATGTTGAAAGAAATTGTAAACACCTAGGATTACATATATGGTGTACTCTTATTTTGATTTCATTGATTTTGTCAATTGCTTACGTTAATTGCGAGGAAGTTGGCGAAGATAGGCTAATATTCAGAAGTCTTGAATCCCTCGTTCAGCATAGCAACTGTATCTTTTTTCTCAGGACCACGTCGGCGAAGACTTCGTCTCTGATATTCTTGAACAGTTTTGCATGTTCTTCCACAACTTGAAGCTCGAACGTGACGACTTGAGGAATTCAATGATGGGATACTTTCCTGAATAGAGTATTTGCATATTCTGGAAGCAGGGCACGGTGTATAGTCGTAGAGACTTCTGCCTCGAAATTTATTTGAATTTAGTAGTTTCTAACGATGTTTTCGGGCTAATGCTTGACTTTTTTGTTTCTGCATGTACCCATCCTTAAAGGCAGTGGACAGGCAGAAGGGACCCCTGTCCGATTTCGGTAGCGTTGGGTAGTAGACCCCTCAAGTACACCGTAGCCCCAACCCAACCCTCTAAATTATGCACTGAGTCCTGTAATGAAGCTTCAAAACTCCACCAGCCCCGCCCACTTCCATTGAGTGGGCGGGGCTGGTGGAACTTTGAAGCGGATTTTCGGGACTCAGCGCATGAATTGGAGGATGGAGTTGGGGCTACGGTGTACTTAAGGGGTCTACTACTCAACACTACCAAAATCGGACAGGGGTCCATTCTGCCTGTCCACTGCCTTTAATGTTGTACATTTTGACTTTTTTGACTCACTCACTGTATTGAAGGTTTTGAATGAAATCTTTAAGCAGTTTTGCTGCCTTCTATCAGAATTAGCTGACAATCGCCACTTAATATGGGTACGAATCGTGAGGCGTAAATCAGACCGTGTTATTGCCGTATTGGCCTTCAATCACACTGAAACTAAGGGTTCCAAGTTTTGAATGCTTTCATGTGATTAGCAGAAGTCCGTATAGATATAGAGACTGAAATGTTCGAGTTGATCGCGTAAATGTGAAAAAAGTCCAATAAGTCATGTCGATGGGTTTTTCATCCTTCTATCATAAATTATTTCAATTATATGACTTTATTCGCTGACATATCTTTCTGAGGTCTTTCGACATGCCAAAACACCCAGCTTATGCAAGTTACAGTGCTACTGCTTTGAAATTTTCTGAGTCTTTTATACAATAAAAATAGACGACTTGCAAATAATCAGCGTGGTCTGAGTTACGGTAGTACAGTACTCCACCAATAGAGGAGAGTATGAGAGCGTGCGGAGTGTTGCGGACTTTGTTACGGAGAATGTGAAAATCTTAAGCATTACTGAATGTATCTAGCTTCCAAAGACAGTGTCCAAACAAAAAGTCGATTTTGAGATTTTGTGCTTACCCGGGCCTATCCGCTATGCTGAATCGGAAAATTCACACCGGAGAGGGCAAAAACGGCGAACAAGGGCTCTAACGAAGGAGGGAAGTCAACAGGTGGGCGGGGTCTTCCCCGCTGTGTATTCACGCTTTAGCTTCGAGAGCGATCTTCTCGATTTCGCGCCGTCCTCACCACCGCAGAGTGCGAACCGTGACTCAAAATCGGAAGCGCGAATATCTCTCCAGAAGCTGAAAGCGTGAATTCGCAGTGGAGAAGACCCCACCCCTGCTGATTTCCCTCCTGCATTAAGCCCTTTTTCGTTGTTTTCCGCTCTCCAGTGTGGACGGATCTACCATGGTAAATAGGACCGGGTATCGGATTATGCATCTTATATGTAGAGCTGAACGTTTGTTTGTCTGTATGTCTGTATGCATGTATGTACGTATGTTCCGAATAGAAATTTTTATTTTTAAACCGATCTGGACCAAACTTGGCATACATACACAAGGGGGCGGGACGGGTGTCATAGGCTACTTTTCTTCTTGATCGGCATCGATTGTATCGATTTTTATCGATTTTTTGCGGAGTTCACCTACGGGGCTGGGATTTGGCACAAGGGGGTAATCGAGCATGCTGATTACGAATACTATATCACCCTATTTTCAGGTGTACAAGCCACACCCTTTTCGCTCTAAAGGCTAACACCAAAAAACTGACTGTCATCATGGAGCGCGTCAAGTGAGGGCAGTATGCGATAAGGAGACCGCTCCGCGAGAAATATGCGCGGCGGCACGCCTGGTTCTGCTCGCGTTCAGAGCAAAAAGGGTGCGGCTTATACACCTGAAAGTAGGGTAGTGCCGTTCGAGCTTCAAGTTGTGGAAGAACATGCAAAACTGTTCAAGAATATCAGAGACGAATTCCTCGCCGACGTGGTCCTGAGAAAAAAAAATACAGTTGCTATGCTGAATGAGGGATTTAAGACTTCTGAATATTAGCCTATCTTCGCCAACTTCCTCGCAATTAACGTAAGCAATTGGCAAAATCAATGAAATCAAAATAAGAGTACACCATATATGTAATCCTAGGTGTTTACAATTTCTTTCAACATGTTTTACTACCCCTATACCAGCTACCAGCGGGTAGAGGACTATATGTTGCCGAAAGGGGAGGGTCCCGCGGAAACTATGCAAATGTGCATTTGTTGCAGATGTCCGACGGGACGTCGCACTTTCGGCGACATATAGTCCCTTACCCGCTATCATTCGCCAAGGTCAAGTTTGCAAAAAATCAAGAAAATCGATAAAAATGACTGACAATGTTAATTACGACAAAGCACAAACCGCAAATTTCACAATTTTCAAAAAATGGATTTCTGGTAGTCTGCACAGAGATACTTCTTGGACCATTGTTGTTGGTAAGGGAAAAAAGCATAGATTGTTTGTAGGAGAGCCATCTGCAGTGATGTCGGAAATTCTGTATCTAAAGCCACCATTCGACTCAGCTCGGCGCGGCGCATCTTCTGATATATAGAAGTGACCACTGGACACAGCAGGAGGTCAGATTCCACGAATCGTTTCAGATTTTTGCTTATGGTAGGTTACTCAGTGCTTATTCGTTGCACCCACTGGGCAACCTACCGTAGGCAAAGATCTGAAACGACTCCTGGAATCTAACCTCCTACTGTGTCCAAGGGGTCACTTCCATACATCAGAAGAAACGCCGCGCCGAGCTGAGTCGAATGGTGGCTTTAGATGAGGAATTCGTCCACTCTGAAGCGAGACATGGCCACGCAACAGTGATGTTCTTACATGATGCGACATTCGCGTCTTTTTTTCAAAAAATGTGAGCGGTATTGTGCATGGATGAGATACCCAAGTAGGACGAAAGGACCAGCAGCCCGCAGAAGCGGCGCCTAATTGAGGCGTTCGTACCTCTACCCGAAGTGCTCCACTCGTCTAATTCGATGTGGTGCCTTGAGAACTACTGATTTGCGTCACTGTCGCCCCAAGGTTGTAAAGAAAGTTCCCGGGCAAAATTTTTTTTCAAATCGCTGTAACTTCAAGCAGGTTTATTCTTTTTTGAAGCTACAAACTTCATTGCCATATATTTGTCTTGCTAGCTTCTCAGCGCCTCACTGCGGTCCACCAGCATGCGCAGAAGGGAAAAAGGTCGTGCGAAAAGTGGCCTATCTGTGCAGGATTATCTCAGGCATGATGAGAGCTGGAGAGCCCAGATGCTGTAGTTATATAGAGAATTGCTGGGGCTGTTATGGGGACCATTCATGTTTTCGAAGGAGCACCTGCAAAAAAATTTCTCCCAGAAAGTTTGAAAAATCGGCCATTTTTTGCCCCTAAAAATGCACCATTTTTCGACTAAGTGAGTTTGAAGTCTTCTAGCTCTGCACAGAAAGGACCGAATCTCTGACTACTGGGAAGATTGTTGGGGTAATGGCTTGCAACCTTTTGGACCCATCATCCAGGCGTGGCGATCCCCGCAGGCGACGCCAGCTGCGAAAAGAGTTGCAGTCAGAGGCAAGTTCGACGCTTGTAATTTCTGAGCGCAAATCGCAAAACTCGAGTGCAGCTGCGGATCAGAAGTTGACAGGCTTCTCAAACACATCACCCATGATTTGGACGAAATTCTTTGAATTGCACAAAAAAATGGCCGTAGGAAGAAAAATTGTGAAGTTTTTGTGGTTGGAAAGATTTCTCTTCTTGACGTGCAGATCAAACACCTCTTGATATCAATAAAAGTTAGAAGGCTTGTTAAAAACATCAGGCTTTCCCCTACTGAACAGTATAAAAAACTTGGTGTCAAAGTCCGACCGAGCGCCGAAAAAATGCGTTTGAAAATGAAATTTCCAAAAGTGCCCGGGAACTTTTATTACAACCAATAGTAATTCTCTGAGCTTGCCTTGAAGTAAAATGGTGTAGCGCTGTCCCACCTCTTTGGGACAGGTGGCATCCTAAGATTGTATCTACATATCACTGTGACTAATCTGTTCGAAAGGGACTGTGAGTCGAGCTCAGTAAGTTGAGCCAGCTCCTTCAATTGTGCATAAAAGCTCTTTTGACGTCAAAAATTTACCGCTTGTTCTATTAGGTTGGTATTTGAAAAGGCTATAACTTTGTCCAGTTTTCATTTTTGAATGCAGTCAAGACCATCAGAAGCAGCAAACCTTCCGTAACCCAGCGCGCATTTGATTATACTGATGTCGCAGACGGGAGGAAAACTATGCTCAAAACCGAAAGTTTTCCTTTCGAAATCCTCGTCTTTGAGAGTACAACTCCCTTCAAATTTTGCTCCTATGATTTTCAATCAGATTGTTTTTTAGATGCAAGCAGTAGGATGTGGTATAAAAAAGACCTTCAACGAAGGAATCCTGCAAAAAGTAAAGATAAAAATCCAAAATTGTTCACTTTTTGGACTTATGTGGTATGCCAGAAGGTCCCAAACTATGAAAATTTGGAATCCTGCATGTATCGAATAGCTGAGTTTCCCTGCAAAGTTTTAGTCAAGTTGTCCTGACCTTGAGCATAAAGAAATGAGAGAAGCTTTGGCGATTGCCCTGAGCAGGAAAAATTTCTAATCCGTAGAATGCCAGGCAACGAGTATCTATACTGGGGCGTAGATTCCTCAGATATATATGTTCGAAAAATTTATTTGAACATTAGGTGAACAGTATTTATCCCCTACAGTAGCTAAGGATTCATTCATTCGCACCTGAATTGAAGCCAAGAAGGTGACGGAAATCTCGATTGTGAGCGAGGGTGTGCAAAATGCTGGTGAAATTCTCACAGATGAGATAGAAACTTAATTTTACCACTTTCGTAAGTAACGAAGAAAACATTCCCATGATGTGCAGAATCCATACCGAAAAAGGAATTTTGATGGAAAAAGGTTGTTCGGAAGATAGACCTGAGAAAACGGACATAATTTTGCACCAACAATTGCACGGGATCATCCCTAGCGATACAAATGAATTTTTGATGTTGCGTTCCCGTTAGGATTCGTACATCCTTAAGTTATTCACATCTTGAAGGCAGCGTCTAAGCAAATCTGGATCTACGGGACCTCACATGGATGGCAATTCTGAGGCCCTAACTAAGACACTGTCCAAGCGAGAGCACGAGTGATGGCAGAGATATTCACGACTAAAATATTCGCGTCCAAAGTGGACCCCAAGAATGGTAAGAACGAAAGCTTTGCGCGAAGACCCACGCGAAACTGATGGCTCGTGGTGTGCAAGCATGCGGGCTTGAGGCAAATGGTCCCTTATACGATCATGGGGCCCGATTTGGAGGCGAATATTTTAGCCGTGAGTAAACCATTCGCGTTGCCGCTTAAGCAGTGGGCCCCAAAGTTATTTTCCACTGTGATCCCCGCAGTCCAGCTCTGCCACGCTGCCCTTAAAGGCATCGGGCATACCTTCAGCAACATCATCAACTGCTACTTTCCAACATCAGCAGCTGACGACTCAGAACTAGATGCTTTCTACGAAGACGTGGAGGAGGTCGTCCGCAACAAAAAAATTCTTCTACAAGTATGTTGTGGCCGACTTCAATTCGAAAATCGAGAAGCCACTTAAAAAGGAATATAGGTTCGGGAAGTTTGCATATGGCTCCGAAACGAAAACGGCAACCGTCTTGTTGAGCTTTTTTCCGCCGCACGAATTTTCCATGAAAATTGCATTTTCGTGAAGAAGTAACATCACCGGTGGACATGGGAATTGCTCAAGTGTACAAGTTACGCGGAGGTCGACCATATTCTCAACAACCGAAGGTGGAGCTTGCTTAATGTTTCAGTAGCTCCATCCTTCTGCAGTGGCTCTGCACGGTCTCCTTCGAGCGAAGATAGATTCAATCGAAAGTGGAAAAAAACTCTGTCACAGTGCCGCAAGCAGGAACGAATTCGTTTATGACGGCAACAGGCTGGAACAGCTCATATCAAGTTGCGACTGACCCATCGAGGAGGACTCAAAGTACGACTATGACCGACTTCTGAAAGAGTTACGAGCCTGCGGAAAGTGCGCCTCAGTGCTTTCGACTGTTAGCCAACGCCAAGTGCAGAACAACTTTGCAGGAGGACCTCAGGAAGGACAGGCAAGCCAAGATACTGAAAGGAGCCAAAGGAATCGAAATCTTAAAAAGTGCCGAAGGGACCTCTGCGAATATCATATGCCACTGACTGCACTACTGAACAAGACGGGACCCCAACTTTTCAATTTAAGATGAATCCATCTTGCGAAACCTCTACACCAACCTCTTCCGCTCATGAACACACGTGCCGATGCCCGTTGTTCCCATTGAAAGTACCACCAAGGATTGAAGTGCGTACCGCGACACAGACCATGAAGACGTCCACGGCCGCAGGATTAGACAATCTATGTAGACTGTCGAATTCGAACTCCGGCTCGCAGAAATTCTGTCGAATTCCTGCGAGCCGGAGCACAAAGTCTACATAGATTCTCGCGTTGCACCTGACATCTTACCCGCACGAAGAGAGTTCCCAACCAGTGGAGAACGTCAAGAACCGTCTTCCTCTTCAAGAAGATCGACGGAAGGATTTACGAAACTACCTTCCATTATGCCTTTTAAATGAAATGTACAAGCTTTTCACGAAGAATATCCTTGCTCATATCTAGGATTAAGCTCAACCCCATGAAAAAGCTGGGTTTCGCAAGGGATCAGTTGCATGGACCACCAGGCGGTTTCGAGGGTCATAGAAGTTTGCCGGAAATACCGACTGCCTCTCGTCCTAAACTTCGTCGATTATGAGAATGCCCTTGTCAGCGCGGAAACCAACACCATCCTATCATCGCTTGTCGACCAAGAAGTGGACCCAACTTACGTGAGGACATTAGCCGAGTACTACAGCGATTTTACAACGACGCTGCAGCTATTTCATCATCCCTTGACCACTCCAGTTGGGAAGGGGGTCCGACTAGGCGACAGAACCTCGCAGAATCTGTTCACCCGACTTCGCAGTGGGTAATGAAATTATTGGACTGGGACGAGAAAGGCATACGAGCTGATGGGAGATTCCCGTCGAATCTTCGTTTGCGGACGACATCGTTTTCTTTCCGAGCAGGATCACTGAAGCAGGTACGATGCTAAAGGAACTAAACGAAACAGGGAAGAAGGTCGAATTGCGAATAAATCGGAAGAAGACTCAGTTCTTGAAGAAAGCCCTTTGCGAAGATGCAGAAATGAAACTGGAAGACATCCCTATTATGGAGACGCTTCTTACATGTATCTCCGATGTTCGATGAGCATGGAGAACGAATGGAAAAAAGAAGAGCAAAGGAGAAAAAGGGCAGCCTTGGCCGCCATCGGGCCTCTGAAGGAGGCAAGCTGCCAAGTGACGGACATGGAGCTTCGTGCCTACCTGTTCGACTCGGGCGGACACTGTAGTCACGTCGAAAGCTCTACGGACAACGCTTGAGCACGGTCTTCTGAAGACTAATCGACAACAACATGTCATGTCGAACTTAGCAGTACGGATTTGAGAAGAATGTCTCGCCCTCGTGACCCAGCGGAATACGTTGCAAAAGGGGAACATCGATTAGCCGGTCACATCATGAGAAGAACAGACGACAGATGGATAGTAAGAACATCGGGTGGATTCCTTGCGAAGCGAAACGTCCCCGAGAAAAAAAACCTCTGATGAGATGAGTACACTCCGTGGAACGGATGGACTAGGTGAGAGATCAGCTGGATACAATTTTAGCTCCTGGAACTTGTAGACGCAGCCACCGACGACAACCAGGAAGATCGTGGATGGTCTGAAGCTAAGGACGGGGATTACTGGAAACTTCTGTACTGGGCCCGCACGTCACGCGAGGCCATCTTAGTATCTACGTAAGTAAGTAATATTAGCCTTTTTTCGCCACCTTCCTCGCATAACGTAAGCAATCGGCAAAACCAATGAAATCAATAAGAGTACACCATATACCTCTAGGTGTTGAGCGAAGGTGGCAAATATATTAATATCGATAGCTCATATCTCTCAGTTTTCACAGGTTGATGTAAGCCTAATTCGTCTTCACTAAAGTAATCGTTAGAAACGCAATCATTGTAAAAAATGAGACAAAAAAATTTATATGTAGTGAGATTCCTAATGTGGGGGAGGGGGTACTAGTGCTTTGTATTGAGTGGAAAGGAATTAGCTAGCTCATCTTCACAATAAAGTATATCGTGCTGACCAACATGACCATATCATTGAATAACCCAATATTTGAGGAACCTCAGAGCTTGCCTGAACTTGGTTTACATGCCTGTTGCGAAAATGGTACTCATTATGCTTGGTCGGCTTCTATGCTTAGCGTTGCTTAAGGGACTTATCTGGCTTTGATAACAAAAATCACGTAATCGCTAACATCAATATCTCGTCAATTACGACCCCTTCCCTGTCTGTCCCGATTCAACAGATTTCCAGATGTGAAATGCCTCACGCTTGACCCTGTCCATCATCTGTATGGAAACGGCTTTTTATGGTTTTTGAAAACTAAACTGTTGTTAGCCTTGCAAACAACCGGATTTTTCAATTTACTAATCTTGAAGGCTTGAAAAATGCTCTCACTTATCTAAGCTGAAGATGGCACTTTCATTACAGGCACTATCCCTGTCGTTTATATTAGTTTGGAGCGAAAGTTTATAATTCCAAGAAAAAATTCGAGAACTTTCGAGAATTAAACTGCAACCTCTGGTTTCGACCAGAAATGTTGCTTTGGTTCTGACTAGGAAAATGTATGCGCTTTGAAACTGATCTATCTGACCGCAGTTTTTTTGGTCAGCCTTGCAATATGAATCTTTCAAAGATCACATCAAATTTCCTTATTCTGCGTCTGCTCTCATGAGGTACTGAAATGCTGCTAGCTGGTCCCATTTCTGTTTATTAGGCAGCATAGTCCCTGCCCCCCTACACCAGGCCTCAATTTCAAAATGCAAAAGCAATTTTTTTTAAAATAATTTACAGATTTGATAGAACATTTCAGAACACAATTTGATTTCAAAAAACCTGTTCAGATTAAGCACTGCGCAAAATTCAAGTTCAGAGTTTTGTTTTGCAGTGATGAGGAGACGTGAATCCATGTCCTCCAACGACATTTGTTTCGCATTTTTAATTGAAGCCTGGCACAGCATTGTTTGAGTACTGCTATGTAGTAATTTTCACAAATCTTTTAGAGTCGGCACCCTAGCATCCTTTAAGGCTAAACTTAGCAACATTTAACTGAGATGGAGTTAAAAACTTTTTTGTCAATGCTAGCTAAGTAGAAGTACGTTCAAATTATTGACGTCAAGCAGACTTTCTAGTATTTTTAGGCCGAATCACAAAATGTGGTTTAGAATTTGATAAATTACTCGACTTTACTCGAATCGCGCTAAACTTTCTTACCTACTTTACACAGACCTGTGGTATGGTTTTTTGTAAGAAAACGGAAGCTATCAAATGAAATGTGCGTTCATGTTCCATCCAGTCTCGTGTTTATTGGTCGATCGCTCCTGCAAATGTTTTTCCATTTTCGCAAATGATGTCGGTTTAGGTAGTCAGTCATTTCATTCCTAGTATACCTCATTTTTATTTGCTCAAGCATTCGAAAGTGTGAAGCTCGCTTCTTTCGCTGATGCAGGCAAGAACCCGTTACTGTCAATATCCCTACAAGTCCATGCACATTTGTTCCTTTTCTCCTCTTCCCAACTCAGTGACCCTATGATTAAGTCATGCTTTGGATTGGATCTGCTGTTTCATAGATTATGATGCTCCAAATCTAGAAAAGAGTGTTATCGATCCTAGCATTGCCGCTCAAACGGCTGGCTCTTAAACTTGTCGTCAGAATTATCATTTACGCGCACATATTCGAACAGATACTTGCCATTTGCTCGTTCCGAAAAGATAAATAGAGCAGTCGTCATCGTCATTTCGCTAGTCATTTCGCTATGCCGTGTGTCATGGCACAAAATTTCAAAACCTCGGATGCGGCCAAAACCAGCCTGAGCCATGATTGCACACTGGGGAGACGCCTAATTTAGAATGACGCGAACGTCTTTTTTCGCTTTTCATTGTTTTTCCTTTGTTTCTTGCCTTCTGCAGCAGCTTTTTTTTGATATATTGCCTTGGGAGTGGTATGTGTGCCGCTCTAGGTCGATATCTTGCAAATTGTTCAATTTTACCTTCAAGAAAGCAGAAAGATGCGCAGTTGAATAGGAATGAGTAGTAAGTGCGGCTATACACTTGAATCATTTCAAAATCATGTTTGCCACTGCGCACATAGTTCACCTTTGGCGTTCCCTTCCTGGATTCTCAAAGAAAACAACTCTTCAAATGAGGGTTTTCTATGTGTTCCACTTTCTTTCCTTTTAGGTGTAATCAAATCAGCTCGAATTGGTGTAACAAAAAAGTGTGTCATCAATCTGAGCACTGTCATTCAAACAGCTGGTGTCTTAGAATTGCCGTCAGAGTTAACAATTACGCGCACATATTGTGGTCAGAATACTTGTCATTTACTCGCACACATATTATGAAGAGAGTACTTGTCATTTGCTCTCTCCGAAAAGGTGAATAGAGAAATCTTGCAGTGTAAAGCGCATTAACGTTTCTATAGAAACTAATAAGCCTTAACTTTTCAATATGGAATAAATTTGTCTTGTTTTTCTGCTGGAAAGTTTCTCCGTCCGAAATTATTGAGCTCACAGCTATAGCCCAGCTATAGCGAGTATAAGCAAAGCCCGACTTTTCGTGCATGAAAACTTCTCAGAGCCACCATCATTAACCAGTGCGTCCTCTCTGCTTAGCCAGTGGTTCAAGCTTCTTCCACTAACTATCCCTTCCTTACAGTGGCGTACCCAGGATTTCGGCTCGGGGGGGGGGGGGCGCGACAAAAAAATTTTTCTAATGAAGGTGCGTGGCGTTAGCCACGCACTCCGAAAAAATTTTTGGGGTGTTTCTAAAAAATTTTGGCAGTCCCCGACCCCTAGAATCTGGGAAAAGGGGGCGTGGCGTTAGCCACGTCCCCGGGAAAATTTTTTTTATAAGGCTAAAATGAATTTTTAAAAAATTTTAAAAATTATTTTAAATATTTACAAGTGCAAACAAGTCATTTGCACAATTTTATAACCCATGTAGGTGACTTTCAAAAATTTCGCGACCCGTTCTCGGGGGGGGGGGGCGCGCGCCCCCCCCCCCCCGCCCCCCCCCTCGGTACGCCACTGCTTCCTTATGATAGCATTATGGTTTCTCTGACATTCTCTTGAAAGTGGCGACGTCCATTAAGTTGTAAACAACAAGACATTCTCGAGAGCTTTCCATGTGAGCTCGGTAATTTCAGAGGGAGAAACCTTTTAGCAGAAAAACAAGACAGATTATTTCATGTTGAACAAGTTATGACTTATCAGATTTTATAGAAGCGTTAATGCGCTTTACACTGCAGAATTCTCTCTGTTTCATAACACAAACTTCAATTCAACGGTTTATGCAACCATCTCTTCTTAGCGCGTTTCTTTGCAGCCTCCCAAGCCGAACGCACTTGTCACATCTTGAAAAGTCTGATTCGATCGTCAATTGTCGATCGAAAGCCAAGTGAATCAGTGTTAAATGCGATCTTGAAGGAACTAGGCTTTCAAATAATTCGTTTTTATGCATATAGAGCCTACACGCTGCTAGCATTTGTTATTCAAAAACTTGGTCCGAGAGCTTAACATGTATTACATTCCGTGCACAGGGACACAACAGACAGCATTATCGGTACCTTAGTGAATTCTCGACTAGGAGGAGGGAGCGGGGGGGGGGGGGGCTCAGTAACCATTTTGTGTGGCCTTCGCGACTAAAAGTCAGCAGAACGCGAACATTTCCCTCCTTTTTTCACTTACAAAAAAGGTGCTTCGAGTCGTAGTGAGCTTTCCAGCTGAAGTTCACCGGAAAGCACTGAACACCAACACAGCGGTATTTGATATCTGCTATGCGCCTCTAAGCGTCGAATTTTGAACTATGATTGTGAAATATTGAACGCGCGAACGGCGCAAAATCATACAGAAATGTTTAAATGGGCCAGTGTTGTATAATCAGGGAGGGTATTTAACAATCTCCCACTCGCTATGCGGGCGCATTGTTGAAGAGAGCCCGCGCATGCGAGAGCGGCCTTTCCGTGATTTATGAAAGTCTTGGAAGCGCGGCCCAAACGGGCAGCAACGCCGCCCGACTCGTCGAGAAGGGGAACTGCTGCCCTACTGCCGTGCCCGACATGGCCAAACTTGCAAGATCGGACCATGTTCTTCAATAGACGGGAGCCCGGTCACCAGCTTGGCTTCATATATCGCGGGCGCCAGTGCCCGCCTCTGTGTGTGCTGTTACCTGCATAGGAACCCCTTCCCACACAGGAGATTGATAAATACCCCCCCCCCCCCCCTTCCGCAGGCACTCTACACATTGGGTACGTTCTAATAATAGTGTAGTCAACAATGTCTTACTCGTGTCCTGAAAGACATTAACGAATTGCGTTGTTTTTTGCTCAAGAAGCAATCACAACTGTGAACTCTGCGTTTAGAGGCAGCGGAGCATGTAAAAAATACAGATCTGAAGTCAGCTTTTAGTAAAATCAGCATGAAGTTGAAAAGTATTCGAATCAAGACTTCCTTTGCTACATAAAAGCCGTAACGTTTCGCACGCGAAGGTGGTCCCATGGGGTATTGCTCTATGAGACTTTTACCTAAAATAAAGCCTGTCTTTACGTAGCGCACATCAACGGTCTCCTTGAGGATTTCCTTGAACCAAACAAGCCGAAACCCTCATACTACGGTAATGGAAGCCGCTGATTTTGAATATGAAATTTCCACTTTCCTGTGACGCTTCTTTGCAATGTTATCCCACGTAAACCCTTATAAGTGAATTCCGAGCATTTGCCAGAAACGAATTACACCGTCAAAAAAGCAGAAAACACTCGCAAAAAGCTGTGTAGTGGTTTAGCGTGTGCGAAAACGTACGCAATTCTTCAGTTTTTTTGGAGAAAGTTTTGTCCGATGGCGTGTTTCACAATGGTTCCACATGCTGGAAGTCCCTACCGTAATGCTACAGTAACGAAGAGCGATCGATAATCCGCTCCATGCTGTGAAAATCTAAGCTGAACCTTGCTCTACAGAGTGGTACTTCAAGTTTGGCGAAAGACATAGAAGCAAGGTTATTAACGATCAAACAGTGTTAACATTTTTTGGGACACCCTGTATGATTATAATAGTAAGTAAGCCTCACAATAAGAAGCTTGAGCTCTGCCGCTGAATACTTTCCCCGTGCATCCGAAGTATTTTTAGCTCAAGCTGTTCAGGGCAGCCATAAGGAAGATTTGTGTGTGCTATACTTCTATTCTACTTTCAAATGCTGAGAGTTTAATCGTACGCTTTTGCGCATATGCATTCAAATGGATGTCGGTTACAAATGGAACAATCACTACTTGCTTTAACCCTGCTGTTTCGGCTTCTTGCAGTACTTAAGCTTGATATTCAGATAAATCTTTATTACAGAAGTCATTGCCGTAATGAAAAGCCTTCTGATTATAACTCATGTTGGATGAAAGGCCAGTTCACAGGAATTGTATGAGAGATGATCACTGTCTGTAAAACTGCGTTCAAATAAAATACTATGATCAACCCATAATCTTTACACAATACTCAAGAGTTTACATACTGTGAATGTACGTTTGTCACAAAAATTTTCTGAGTAGGTTATTGGGGCTGAAACCTCTACAAATTACCGAATGCTAACTTTCGCGGCGAATTAGTGGAGCGCAGTGCGCTACATAGTAGAGGCTCCTGAACGTCTCCATTTCTGGGTTATGAGGCTCTCAACTTTTATCAAGTCTCGCGCAAAAAGAACTTCTTAGGAAAATCACTCTTTCCACAGTTACTCGAGTCGGTTTACTACGACTATTTTTCAGTGAGAAATGTAAAGGGAGAGTGAGTGGGAAGGAGGAGGGATCTAAAAACGTTCTAACGAGGTTATAGAATGCCGAATGTATTTTCAATCAAAGGTTCATTTCTTTACAAAAAATTGCCTCGCAAAACTTTTTTGCGTTCAAAAACTAGTTTTTTTTGCAAAATCAGACTTCACCCAAGAGGGCTGAGGAGTAAGGCTTTGATCATAAATTTTTTGCCCCATCCTCTTCCCTCTCGAAAAAGTATCTCGGACCGTCACTAAATTGAGGTGCTTGGTTTTAGGTGTTTCTTGGACTGCTATTCATTTTACTGTTGAGCGCTGCTGATCCAATCCCTAGAAAAGTATTGTTTTCCTATACAAAATACTCGGGAATCCAGTTAAGACCTGATGGAAGGTATCAAACATTTTTAGCACTTAACTCGAAATGAGTAAGTAAATTCAGAGAATATGGATTTATTAGCCCTACGAAAAACAACATCAAAAATATATTTGTGAAATGTTTTTCATGTAAGGAAGCACGTCAAGTGACATTCGAAGAGGAAAGAGACGTACTCGGTATGCCATAAACGCTGCAATACATTCCCACATAATCTTTACATCTAGGCTGGTCATGGACGGGTGTTCCAAATGTAATACTCTTTGCTCAAGACAGACATGGCGATGAAAATACAATGTTATTTAAAAAAAATATATCTGAGGTAGTTTTGCTGTTTGCATTACTATATGCGTAGCATACTCTCTGCTTCAGGAGGCTATAGCTCAAAATCCGCAGAAGAGTACCGTAATATCAAACAAACCCCAAGTCACTGCTCATATCATTCGCAACAGTCTTAGAAGCGCGCGCATAATAGTTGGTATTAATGATGATAATAAAATGTGAGTCAGTAGAACTTTGGTGGTAAATGAGTAGTTTGTGAAAATCTATCAAACATGTTAATTAATGTGCACAAAAGTGTATCTTGTGCTCTCAGGTATTTCAACGCCTATATGTACGACCTGTTGACTGACTCGATGACACTAATTATAAAAAACGATAGATTCGGAAGATTTGTCTTTGACCACGACATGAACATTCGTCTTGCCATACAAGAGCAACCGGACGGTTCAGCTATGTATCTCAGGTGAGTGTTTATGGTGCACCATCGAAGCAGCGCTAATGATGGAAAGAAGTGCACTATAGTGCTGCACCATCGAAGCAGCGCTAATGATGGAAAGAAGTGCACTACAGTGTTGCACCATCGAAGCAGCGCTAATGATGGAAAGAAGTAAACTACAGTAAAGTTTGGGGAAAGCAAAGTGGCGATCGCATTTTGGCTATAACCACATAAATCTTTTCAAACGTTTACCACAGTTTATTCATGGAAAGTTTCCAGTGTTAGACAACTTTTCTCTTTAAGAGGGAAAAAGTGAAGAGAGTCCAAATGCTTTGAATTAGCTTCGCAAAACAATTTTTAGGAGGTTGCGGGCGCCATCTTCCGTTTTTTTTAAATTTGGAGGATATAGATCCGTTATGTTTTCAGGAAGTAAAAAGTTTTTGCAAGAGCGTAACTATTGTTATGCTCGATCATTAAAAAAAATCTGTCCATACCTCTTCTTCCCAGCGCAACTTTTCAACCACCCTGTTCTCTATTTCCTAGATCTTGTAAACCATGATTTTAATATGTCGCTAGGTTCTCCTATCTGTTTTAGGCGGTCACAAACAGCAAAGAATGAGTTACCATACACATCAAATGCATCAGAGTGGGAGCAATATCTCGTCGTCAAATCGGAAGATAAAATGGTTACTCGGTAATAGGGCAAACAGACTATTCGGTGAGAGCAGTGCTGTTATGCCGTTTGTTCAGGCCTATAGCATTCGATAAGAGCAATGAGCATATGTATTGGTTTTGGGGAGACGAAAATAATGACCTTGGCAAGTCGTTTATTAGATAAGCCACACTCCCATAGATGATTATTATGTAAAAAATCAAGGAAGTCTTGTTACGTTTAAATTTGACGATCCCGAACACCGAGAAGTTTTGTACTCTGCAGCTAGGGCGGAAATAAGTGATATCGTAATTCATCCTACAGACAAGACAGTGCTTGCACTTATAGAGGTATGTAAATTTGGATCGAAAACTTATATCGAGTCATTGGTCAGATCATATATGAAATCGATTTATCAATTTTTTCCTCCACTTAACTTTGCTTTCAATCACTCTTCAGAACTAACTAGAAAAACTGCTACGAAAAGTGACTATGATTTCATCTTGGAATGAAAGAGTTTTAGACATATCGTCGGCCAGAACTATTCGCTGTGAATGGCAGATTTGTAGTGCATTTTCAATACTTAGTAAACTTCCGACCATATGACTCCCTGCTAATCATGGATTTTAGTAACGGTTTGAATGATAGTGTTTAATTTTTGTTCTGACTAATGTTAAACTCATTTTAAGATATGTCAACCTGGTTATTATCATATGAGTCAGCTGACCAGCCATATGATGTTTACTTGTACAGGGTTGAGCAGAAATCTGTAACTCCAAACAAAGCTCATTTTCATACATGTCGATTATAGATCGTTAAGGTGGAGTTCCTTTTCAACCTGCGTCCCCAACTCAAGCAGTACAAACTGAGCAGACAAGTGGGGTTTGACTTCAAAGCAAGAGATGGCGTGGTTCTTCAAGCCTACCTTAGTCTACCACCTGAGGTAGGATATGCTTCATTTGAAGTCTGGCAGCAAATTCTATTGCTTTAGGTTCCACTGCTTTCGGCGAAAGACGTGCCAAACGCTGATCAAGCCTATGCTGAGCTTGGGATGATCCCTACAAAACCTCAAAAGATGGTTGTACGTGTACATGGAGGACCCAGAGTCAGAGACTCTTTTGGTTTTGATCCTGTCAATGCGTGGCTGACGAGCAGGGGCTATGCAGTGCTTCAAGTATTCTACTCTTTTTGTGCTAAGAGGTCAAGTGTAAGTACTTTTGGGATAATTTAAGGTGAATTTTCGTGGAAGCACTGGCTTCGGTAGGCGCTTGATGAACGCCGGTAACGGTGAATGGGGTAGAAAGATGCATTTCGACATTCTTGATGGCGTTGAGTTTGCCATCGCAAAGCGAATAGCAGAGAGGTCGCAGATTGCAATCATGGGTGGGTTGAATAAAACAATACAACTTGAAATCAGGTCAACAGTTTTCCAGGAGGTAGCTATGGTGGTTATGAGACCTTAGTGGCTCTCACTTTTTCCCCAGAAGTGTTTTCTTGCAGGGTGGATATCGTTGGGCCTTCAAATCTTATAACATTAATCAAAACTGTGCCTCCATACTGGAAAAGTTTCTACCAAAATTTGGTACAAATGGTTGGAGGAGATCCTGAAACGTGAGGAATTTTTTCCAAAACCCTGAAATCTACATTTGTTTTCCAGGGAGGAAGGACGACGAGCACTTAGAGAGCGATCTCCACTTTTTTTCGCTGATCGAGTTACAAAACCATTAATTATTTTACAAGGTGCCAATGACCCTAGAGTAAATCAGCAAGAATCAGGTGCGTAGATTTGGTCTCTTATGAGTTCCTCCAATGTCTCTTCTTCAGATCAATTTGTAGAAGCGCTGCAAAACAGATCCATTCCTGTATCTTATATTCTTTACCCAGATGAAGGACATGGTTTCAGAAAGGTGCGGTTACTATAGAAAGAACCGGTACTTCATAAAGTTTCCACCATTGTAGGAAGGAAATCGTTTGACCGCGTACGGCTTTGAAGAACAGTTCTTACATACATGCTTGGGAGGAAAATACGAACCCTTTCAATTAGGGGATTATAATACTACGGCCATAGTAAGTGCATTATAGTAAGTGCAAAATTACCACCTTTACATTTACCTCTACAAATGAAAATGATTGGGGTGAGATGTTGCGACACAATAGCGGGAGTCTTACTAAGCAACACTTATACTGCATGACGAAGGCGCAATATCTGTAAGCACGAATGCGGCTTTATTCCGCAGAGTGCATAAGGCGCTACAACGCCGTGTTTGAGGTCGCTCTACTGGTACTGCTTTCTGCGCCTTAGTCGTGCAGTAATCTTCCAGCTGCAAAAGGTAAACACAAAGCAAGAAATTTGCTGCAGAAGGTGCCACTTTCATTTCTCTCAAACATGGGTGCTGAAGGTAGGAATTTTACAACTAGGGTTCAAGTACCAAAAAAAATTGTAATTCATATTGATGATCAGATTTTTTTTACATTTTCTATTAGTTGAAAGTTGATATGAACCTCATCACTTTTGTACCACCCACTGATGGACGGAACGGACATGTCCGCACAGACATCTTCTGAAGCAGTTTTCTCGTTTTGGACTTCACATTTGGAGCCGACACCTGAGCAGTCGCTTGGCTATGTGCTTCACTTCACTCATGCGTACTGAAGCAATACTCTCATTTTGGGTGGAGGGTGCCTTTAGGGTACCTAAAGTAACTTGTCTTTATACCACGCCGCACAAAGTCGTTTAATACCGCATAAGTAGTTGACATCAACTTAGAGTCTTGTGGTTCCAAAGACAATATCTATTGATTGTTGACTGTGACGATCAGCAGGTCCAATTTCTTGTTAAGGGTTGGGCCAGACTACGCCGGGAAAGCTGAGTATGCGACGTACGCAACGTACGCTCTGTATATTCCATCATAGGAACGTACGCCGCGTACGCTGCGCAGTCGGGCCCAACCCTAAGAGATGCTTCCTTTAACTCTAATTTCGCTGCTATTGTTCCTACTTCTGCTATATGAGGGTCAATGAAAATGCCCTGACCGTGCGGCGATCTGTTCCTTTTTGCAAGGAAACTAGTGGATTAGAAATAGATGATCGTAGTAGAGATCAAAATTCGCTATGTGAATAACAGGGTGTTTGAATTATTGGCCTCAAGCAAACCAATTGCGAATTCTAGCTTGGTTTTTGCTATATGTCTTCGCTAAACCTAGAGACGACTAAATCAACAAAGAAAAAATTTTACAGTCAGATACCCTAAAAAATTTAAAACTAACCAATTTCTTTAGCTTTCTCAAAGAGGCGAAAGGTGCGTTATTTGACTTGTTTATTTATTACTAGCTGGCTTACTCGGCTCCGCCGTATCCGGACCAAACTTGGCACACATACACTTCGGGCCCCGGCGGGTGTCACAGTCCACTTTTCGTTATCGATCGATGTCGATTTTACCGATTTTTATCGATTTTTTTGCAGAGTTCACCTACAGGGCTAGGAGTTGGCACAGGGGGGAAGTGAGCATGGGGATTCCGAATACAATATTAGTTTTCAGAATTATCGATTACTTTTATTGATTTTATCGATTTTTTGTAAATTTTGACATGCGAGGCTGGGATTTTGCACAGGGGGGGGGGTAATCGAGCATGCTGATTACGAACACAATATTAGTTTTCAGGATCGTCCATTACTTTTATCGATTTTATCGATTTTTTTTTGTAAAGTTTGACCTGCGGGGCTGGGAGTTTGCACAGGGGGTAATCGTGCATGCAGATTACGAATACAATATTAGTTTTCAAGATCATCCATTACTTTTATCGATTTTATCGATTTTTTTGCAAAGTTTGAGCTACGGGGCTGGGAATTCGCACAGGGGGGTAATCGAGCATGGGGATTCCGAATACAATATTGGTTTTCGGGATTATCGATTACTTTTATCGATTTTATCGATTTTCTGAAAATTTGAGCTAGGGGGCTGGAATTTGGCACAGGGGTGTAATCGAGCATGCTGATCACCCCCCTTGGGGATCAGAAACTTTGCAAAAAAATCGATAAAATCGATAAAAGTAATCGATAATCCCGAAAACCAATATTGTATTCGGAATCCCCATGCTCGATTACCCCCCTGTGCCAACTCCCAGCCCCGTAGCTCAAACTTTGCAAAAAAATCGATAAAATCGATAAAAGTAATCGATAGTCCTGAAAACCAATATAGTATTCGAAATTCCCATGCTCGATTACCCCCCCTGTGCCAACTCCCAGCCCCGTAGCTCAAACTTTGCAAAAAAATCGATAAAATCGATAAAAGTAATTGATAATCCTGAAAACCAATATAGTATTCGAAATCCCCATGCTCGATTACCCCCCTGTGCCAACTCCCAGCCCCGTAGATGAACTCAGCAAAAAAATCGATAAAAATCGATAAAATCGATATCGATCGATGACGAAAAGTAGCCTATGACACCCGCCGGGGCCCGAAGTGTATGTGTGCCAAGTTTGGTCCGGATCGGTTCAGAAATGGAATTTTCTATTCGGAACATACGTACATACATACATACATACATACATACATACATACATACATACAGACAGACAGACATACAGACAAACAGACATTCAGCTTTATATATAAGATTATTATGTTTATTTATAACTGTTTTACTGCCGAAAAACGAACGACTGGTTTCTTGTTTTTTATTACAGAAACTACCAAGTCTACACCCTTTTCAGAAAGTGTATTTTCTGTAAAATTTTGTAACAAGCATTCCAAGAGAAGAGGCGGTAAAAGTTGTATTAAATGCGTTTCAACCTAATAAAGAATCAAACAAACCTCAGAAAAAACTCATTTTGGCTAAATTCATGGTTTTCAAATTTTGCAAGCACATGAAACAAAAAGCGGGTCAAAATTTGAACTGGAAATGCTTTAGGCAAAGATTCCAAACATCGTCTACGTCCAGCTTGAGAGCCGGGCATATATCACGCAATTCCATCGCTTCGCGATTCTCACAACGAGACAACTGTTACGAGTTCATTGCATACTGATTATCTTGCATTTCGGTTATGGTAGTTAGTCGCGACTAGTCGTGTCGGAAAACTTTCATAAAAGATACGCAAGATGTTCTGCATGCAATGAACTCATAGTAGTTGTCTTGTTGGATGAATCACGGGAAAATCGCGTGATATGCCCGGCTCTTTATGCATCAATAGCAAACTAAATTAACCATACCATTTCCTTTAGGAATAACCATCGCTTTTTTGTATTGGCCTTTTTTCTCTTCTGACAAACTTTGAATTCGATCGTGGCGAATATGAATATGAAGTGTCCGTGAGAAGTCAGTGCTGTAGATATGATACAAAAGCCATTGATAGATTTTTTTGGGGGGGGGGGGGGAAGAAGTTGAAGTGCTGCGACGCATCAACAATCATCTAGGCATTAGGGAGAAAAAAAAATCAAAAACTCTTTGTTTGATGTTGAAATCCACGATTATAACTGATCAGGTCATGGATTTCTATTGATTTGTCAACACCTTCGAGGTGAGCTGGGGAACAGCACTTCTTAGAACCCTATATGCATTAGGCTAATCCGAGATTCGTTCGCACTCTAAAATAATATCATTCTATTGTGGTGAACTTGCTCGGCATTGATTTTGTCAGAAAACATACTTTGTGACGGCAGCTAGAATCCCTGGCAAGAAAGTGTTGGTATGAAAGTAGTAAGAAAGATACCTTAGAGAAGCAATCCAAAACTTTGACATGTTTCGATATACTTTGAAAAAAGTAGAGTTGAATGACTTTGCCCGTTCAAAAGTGGGCGAAGTCTGTGATGGTCGAATGAATATCCGAGTGAGGAGTTATAACTTTTGAGAAAACAATGCAAAAAGGCAAAAAAAAAAACAAAACTTTTCAAAAGAGCTCAACCAACAACGAATTCGTTCTGTTAAAGAGACGTAAAATCTTTCAACCGAATGCCCGGAATATATCGCGACATTCTCAACTTGCTAGAAAGTTTGTCGAATCTTACCAGAATCCGGAGGTTTCCGTTCTTATTTTAGTCTGTACTCAGAAAATGTCGAACAATTCCTTGCAAACTGTGTTAATTTAGTTTTACGTTTGCCAATCAAAGGACATGGATACCTTTTTGCAACGTATCTCTATCTAAGAGAACCTCAAGATAGAATGACTAGCTACTTCTCAAAATTATACGTATAAAGCAGTGATTACTGTTTGAATCTCTTCAAAATTTGAAGAAGGCATCTTTGCTTTGAATATATGGAATCTGAATCCGATCCATAATATATATCCATCTTTTTATTAGAAAAAATCAAAGTTTACTTTTCGTTTCCAAGTTATAGCATTCAACTTGCATACTTCCGTGTACCATTTCGGCCACCAGCTCCATGTTCTGCTTTCGCCTCTGTCAAAGATGGCCCCTTGTTTTGCAACTTTTTGTTACTTGGGGCTGGTCGCGCTGAGCAAATACTGCAGGTGATGGCGCGTCGAGACTGGGAACGCGAGGATTGCGCGCTTGATGCCAATTGAAATGATTTTCACAGAGACATAATAAAATGATACCTTGTTGAATGTGGGTTAAGGTAGGTTAAGGTGTGGGTCCAAGGCGGCATTTGTAGGTTAAGGTGTGGACCCAGAACGGCTCTCCCCTTGGCTTCCACCTCGATCGCCATTACTCCGTCTCCCTCAAGTACTCCGCCATCCAGCGAACCTAGTGAAACCATAAAAAGTACTTCTCCAACCAAGCCAACAAATAAATCACTCCTCATGTCGTTTATACACTTCTTGTTGCACATTCAATAAACATGTAGACTCACATGTGCTCGTATAACTTTAGCAATCATATATCATATATTAAAATCCAGCCCTACATGAAAGGAAGCTATACGAATGCACATTAGCATGGTTTGCTAGCTTTAGTCTTAGCTGTTGCTCCATCCTGTCTTTCTTTGCTTTTGCCCCTGCTGATATAAGCCACTTTACACCTGCATCTAGCATACAGCCTTTCTTGTTTGAAAACAGAACAAAGCTTTCATATCATTATCTTCCTTGCTCAGTACCATTTCACCACGACATCGACTGTCAATGACAGACGACTTAGGACTTCACAGCATCCCGCAGACTACAGTATTTGAAATTTTGTATTGCAGAGTGTTAGTCCTGTGCGCTTGTGCATGTGGCGCAAGAAGTTACAAGGAGCGCACTTTCTACGCCATTCATGAGGGATTTTTATGGAGATGCTAGCTAACATATCCGACTCCATCCGGCCGCCTATATAAATGTTTTGCATAACCACGCAAAATATCAAAATAGGATATATAAACAATTTCTTAATTGTATGAACTCAATATGTATGATGCTTTTATTAAATCAAAGCACACTGCCTCAGTTTCCTCCAAATTCTGAAATAGGCCTCTTTGCTTCAAATATGTGGAAGCGAACAGTTGTGAAGATAGCTTGGTTCATTAGAGTCCTCAGATTACTTTCCTTTTCTGAGTTATGACAATCAAATTGCATACTTCTCTCTGGTTTCGCCTCCTGCGTCAAACATGTCTGTTTTTTTCCAAGTTTTCGATACTTGTATGTTATGAAATTCCACTGAACCACTGCAGATTTAGTTCCTGAGAAAATCATTTGGCTCACCTGCTCACTTTGACGAAGTTTTGCGCGTGTACTCGAAAGCCGCCGCTTCCCTGTTTATGAGTGCCAAGATGCAGGCTTGAAAAGCTGTGATAATCTGGTTGTACGTATCACATGACGTTGGCAGCACTGTAAAGCCGCTGTTAATACCATCTACTCAGATAATCGCCGGGGGCAGGCGGCCATGCGAATTTTGAGCAAGCGCGCACCGGAAAAATAGTTCGCTGATTTGTTGTGGCCCGCTTGCAGAAATTTGGAATAATTTTAGCGAAATTTCAGGCGAATGCTTGGAGAACAATCGCGGTTTTCTTATAGATTAGCTGCGGCGCAGTGGCCGCATTCTCGCGGACTTTCCGCGAGAATATGCAAAATTTTCGGGGGCCGCGCAGTCCTTTGTGAAGGACCGCGCAGTCCCCAGGTACTTTCCGCTGAGAGAAAGTACCTCAAACTTGAGTAATTAAATCAACGGTGGCACCTCTGCCACACAGAGTCTTACCTGTTCTCGACGTACGCCCGAAACTGCTTGAAAACCGTCCGAGGCGAGCTGAAAATTTGACCAGCGCTCGCTGAAAGAGATTATTTGACGAGCGCTTGCAAAAAATGCTGTATTGCTGTCCGCTGGCAGAATATGCGACTGTAAAGGAAGTGTCTCCCGCTGAAGGTTTGGCCACGCCCCAAAATTCTGCTGACCGCCTACAGAAAAGCGCGAGTTTGCGGACCGCCTGCCCCCGGCGATTCTCTGAGTAAAAACTCTCTACAAAACAGTTTGGAATGGATAATGTCTGCAACCGTTTGTGAATTTCTTTTGCAGGTTAAGGTGTGGTCCCAGGACTTCGGCCGGCCCCGTGGTCTGTCTTGGATCGCCATTACTCCGTCTCTATCACGCACTTCGCGGCCCGGTAAAATGAGCGAAGCAGCCCTAGCACCTACTCCCCCAACCAGCTCATCAAGTAAATTTCTCCTCATGTCTTCCATATACTTTCTGTTGCAAGTTCAATAAACATTTAGACTCGCATGTGCTTGTATGTTCGTGTCGTATCTTGAAGCCGGTATAAGTTCCACCCCCAAAGAAAGAAATCCCCCACTATCGCACGTCAACACGGCCTGATAGCTTTAGTTTACGTTCAAGCTCTCCTTGTTGCTTTCTTTGCAGTCTACAGTTCTGATTAAAAGCAGGACAAAACTGACATAAACTTATCTTCCTCTCACAGTCTGCACTGCTATCTTACCGCTGTATCAAATGAAATAGACGAAATCGTTGAAAAATTATAGGATTTTGCGTACTACACATCTTAAATTTTTATGTAGCATTTTAGTCCTGTGCACTTGCGCACATGGCACAAGACAGTAACAAGATGTTCCCAGCGCCAATAGTTACTATTTTAATCAAAATGAAATTGCCTTTAACTGGGACTACACTCAGCCTATAAACAACAAGACTTGATGATATTTAACATTTTGTAGCTCAGTGTTACTTGTCAAAAGGCTCTCCTCTATGTTTTGAGGATTTTCAACAATGTGCTATTGAGGAGCTTATTGCATAGGTAGTAATAAACTGTGCAGTGTCATAGACATAGCGTTCAGCGCTCAATCACACTGTCGTTTATTTGTGAAAGGAGAATATCGTCCCTTCTGGGGCGATATTCTCCTTTCACAAATAAACGACAGTGTGATTGAGCGCTGAACGCTCGGTGAAACAGCGCGCAAATGCATTGGAGATTGGCAAATACACTTTTTATGGCAGCCATGTGGACTATCCAGAATTGAACGCGTAGTAGCAGCTAGGTCAGTAGAAGACATGATGATTTGAATCAAACTGAATAGAGATGAGGCGCTTTTTATACTGTTGGGGCCAACATGTAAGGCATTTTGACGCGCTGAAAATCAATTTGGCGGGAGGGGTCCCAAGTTCCCGCCATGACCATGACCAGTGGAAGATCATTAGTATAACTTAAATATTTAGAAATTCTGTTCTTTTCACATATACAAGTTTTGTACATACATGATAGCGTAGGGATTCAAGCAATCTTTTACTCTTAGTTTTTAAGCCCATGAGGCACGTAGTTGAAAGAATGAAATAGCGAGTAAGGTGATCTGCTAATAGGCTCCTTTTTCCTCATTCTTTGAATAATATTATACATCTTGTCCAACCTCCATGCATTAAGAGCTGGAGTAGGCATGAGGCCTGCAGTGGACAACAGATAAAGCATATTATTTTCGTACTCATTTTGCCCTACATTCTTTGTGAATATTGTAATTAGTTTTACATGAGTTCTTAGCGGAACCCGTTGATAGCCTTCCTTATTCTTTAAAAGACAATTAGTCCAGCATTTATAAAGGACGCCAGTGTGACAGTCAAGCTCTGAGATACGAACGTCTATCTCATTAGTACACAGTGCTCTCAAAGCAAGAACCAAATTGAATGTTGTCCACCCTCTATGCATTAAGAGCTAGAGGAGGTATAAGGCCTTTCGTGGAGCAACGGTTGAACTTCGGTCTAATTAGTTTTACGATCGTCATACAAACCAAAGCCTACCACCATAAATTCTATCAAAGAATTTTCAGAGAGGTCCGTGTTCCATTACATATAGGAAAAGGATATGCAAAATCAATAAATAATATAAAAGTAAACAACAATAAACTAAAAAAATGACAGCAGTAACACAACAATATAGGGGATTAAAAGATAATTAATAGATAATTAACACGTAATATATACAGGGTGTCCCAAAAAATGTGAACACTGTTTGATCGTTAATAACTCCCTTGCTTTTATGTCTTTCGCTGAGCTTTAGGCATCATTCTATAGAGCGAGGTCTAGCGTAGATCCGTAGTGTGGAGAGAATCGTCGATCTCTCTTCGTTACTGTATAATTACGGTAGGAATTTTGACGAAGATTTCAAATCGTTGAAAGCCATATTCTGCCTCGGAACAAAACTAAACAAGCCAAAAACTTTTATACATGGGTAATGGAAGCCGCTGAGTTCGAATATGAAATTTCACTTCATGTGACGCTTCTTTCCAAGGTTATCCCAGGTAAACCTAAATGACCGAATTTCCAGCATTTGTCAAAAATGTGATTACACCGTCAGAAAAGCTAAAAACACTCGTAAAAAGTTGTGTTATGGAATCAGCGTGCGCGAAAACCCTAGTATACGATTTTTCAGATTTTTTGGAAAAAATTTTGTCAAATGGCATATTTCACAGTAGATCCACATGCCAGAAGTTCATACCGTAATCCTACAGTAATGAAGAGCGATTGGCGATTCGCTCCACACCACAAATCTAAGTTGAACCTCGCTCTACATGGTGCCCCAAGCTCGGCGAAAGACATGAAAGCAACGGAGTTATTAAGGATCAAACAGTGTTCACATTTTTTGGGACACCCTGTAATAAGTCGTCCCAAAAGTATTTTCGCTTTTTTTTTACAAGCGCCACAGTCCGCAGAACAAAGGTGTCTCAGGAGCTCTTACGAGAGAAGTACTTTCAATGGCCGTAGCTGTTTGATATGAGATGCATACCATCTGAAGCAGCTTCGAACGCTGATTTCAAATCTGCTTTCCGTTTATGCGGAACGCTCTCTGGAGAGAGTTATGGAAGCCTGAACATCCTATTTTGGGGACGCTCCTTAAGTTTGAGGGCGCTGCTATGTGCGTTGGTGGTGCAGCAGTGTAATGGTTATTTGCTGACATTGAGTGCGAGAGGCTGATGGTTCAAATCCAGTGGAGAGCGAGCCATTTTGCGTTTTGAATGTGAGTTTAAAAGCACTCTAAATCGTCTGCAGACACTTACTGTAATGCCTTAGCACAAACAGGAGAGAACATCTTTTCGACTAATGACAGTGTGCATTTTTTGAGCTTTGTATGGTGACAAACGTGCTAGGCCATATTTCGTCCTGTTTTACTAGTAAGGAAGTCAAGTAGAATTTCAGGCTCTCATTACAAGCAGTTTTGCAAGAAAATTCTTCTTCTAGGTCACTTATGCCACAGGCGTTACAGTAAGGTCTGCAGGCGATTTAGAATGCTTTCAAACTCACATTCAATAAGCAAAATAGTTCGCTCTCCACCGGATTTGAACCATCAACCTCTCGCCTTTAATGTCAGCAACTAACCACTACATTACTGCACCACCAATGCACATAGCAGCGCTCTCAAACTCAAGGAGCGCGCCCAAAATAGGATGTTCAGGCTTCCACAACTCTCTTCAGAAGAGCGTTCCGCAGAAACGGAAAGTAGATTTGAAATTAGCGTTCAAAGCTGCTTCAAATGGTGTGCATCTCATATCAAAAGGCCACGGCCATTGATAGTACTTCCCTTGTTAGTAGCATTTGATGCAGTTTTCCATGCTCTTTCTGATGGTCATCTCTATAATGCAGATGATGCAACGAGCTCTCAGAAAATTGCTACAAACTGCAAATCATGCTTTTTGCCAAAGTCAGGTTCAGCTATTTTTTCTAAATTCTTGTACTGATTTCCCGAAGAAATCCGAGTGACCTGTCGATAGAGCAAACAAAGTAAGATGCAATACAAGTTTTGTCCGTTCCATAGCTTACTTTGAAAAGTTTTTAAAATTAGTTCTTCGATGCTATCAAATTCAATTATTTGATCAACTTAAACCTCATAGAACAACAGCCGGCGAGCAAATCGGGTGTTATTCGACGCAGCACTTTCTCCTCTTTCTTAGATATGTATTAGGTCGTTCCGAAAGTGATGTCGCTTTTTTCAAATGAACGCCACATTTCATGGAATCAAGATTTTCAAAAGATCTTGGGAGCATTCGATGCAGCACTTCATCCTCTTTCTGATGGTTCTAATTTCGCTGCATAATGTTTGATGAGCTCTCGAAAAATTACCAAAATCTGCGACTCATGCTTTTTGCCATTGTCAAGTTCGGCTATTTTTCTAAATTTTTGTACCTATTCTCCGAAGATATGCAAGTGACAGTTAGATAAAGCAAACCCTATAGGACACAGGATAATTTTTCCTTCTTCTTAGCCTGCTTCTTAGAGTTTCTGGAATGAAGTTTTTAATGCTATCAAATTGCATATTTGGTCAAATTAAACCACACAGAACAACAACCGGCAAGCAACTTGGGTGTCATTCGACGCAGCTTTTTCTCCTCTTTTTACTAGTTGTTTTTTGTTTCCGATTCATCAAGTTTTCCGTGATAAAATCTCATAATTCAACTTTTCCAAGGCACCCCAAGGTGTGCCCGAAATTTTCGAAAGTTGCTAAACCGAAGCGGTGAATGCTCGTTTGGTTTGTAAAATTGTTGCCAAACCATAATCCATCTTTGTAACTTTCAAAATCCGGAGACTTGCTGGCGTTTGATGCACTTCTGTCTGAGACGAGTCTGCTAAAATTCGGTGGTTCCATCAAAAAATCTGTACAAAAATTATAACGAGCTCTGAAAAGTAGAAAAAAGTTGTGCTGTTTTCTGTAGGGTTTGCTCTATCCATCCGTCACTTGGACTTCTTTTGAGGTTCGTTATAAATTTTTAGAAAAACTGTGAAACTTGGCCATCTCAAATAGCATAGGTCGCAGATTTTGACTTTTTTCTGGAAGCTCATTGACCGTATTGCAACAACTTCATAACCGTTAGAAAGAGAATGAAATGCTGCATCGAACGCCTCCAAGATCTTTTAGAAGCCTTTGTTCCACGAGATGTGGCATACGTTTGAAAAAAGCGACATTACTTTCGGAACGACCTAATATTTTGTCCCTGATTCGAGAGAAGTCTTGGAGGATAAAATTCATGTTTTACAAGGAACCCCAGGCTGTACGCGACAAATTAGAAATTAGATATTTCGAATCCCGGAACGCTCAATTGTTTCGTAAAACTACTGCTAAATCCTAATCCACTTTAAAAGTATCAAAAATCGAGAGTTTAGTGAAGTTTGACGAGTCTGCGTTTGGTATGGAACTTCTAAAATCCGACGATGTTGTTCAAAATTCCGTCAAAAAGTTATGGGGAACCCTGGGAAGGAGATTGAAACTGTTTTGTATCCTACTTTCTTTGTTTCATCCGCTAGTTACTTGTACTTCTTCGGGGGATC